CATAAACAGTTCACCGTAAAAAATGCCACGGCAGTCCGAAGTTGATAGGGGACGTGCAATTGCACTTTTTATGTAAGGTACCCCGCAAAATCAGGTTGCTAATCAATTTGGAGTCCATCCATTGAACATTTGCCTTCTCATCAAAAGGCTACATGCAACCTGATGCGGTTGCCCTTGTGTGGCGACGTGTTGGCAGGATAGGGCAATGTGACTTTTGCAACTACGCAATCGCTTTCTGATGGCCATGGAAACAGCAAGGAACACAATTGGGCGTCATCATGTTCAAATTGATCCAAAGCCAGTGCGTACGCGACTGTGCGCCTTCGGTCTTAAGACCGCAGCGGACCACAGCTTTATGCACGGCGACGTGCCAGACGAATGCAATGGCTGAATGCACATTCCGTAAGACACTTCCCAATACAATGTTGGAGAAGGGTCCTGTTCTCAGATGAGTCCAGGTTTTCGCTTTACTGGGCAGACGGCCGACGCCATGTCTATAGACGTACCCACAAGCGCTATGCAGATGCTTGCGTGATAGAGAATGACCGGAAGATCGGTCATGGTATGGGGAGGGATTGCGCATGGTATCAAGACTCCTCTGGTTGTTATTCAGGGAAATCTCAATGCCGTCCGCTATAGAGATCAAGTCCTAGCCACTGCATGTTGTTCCTCTAGCACAGCAGCGTCAACTGACGTTTCAGCAGGACAACGCCCGGCTGCATGGGCTTGCCATGGTTATCTTGCAGTAAAAAAATGTCCCCACCCTAGACTGGCCCCCATACAGCCCTGACCTCTCCCCAATAGATCATTTATGGGACGAGTTGGACAGAAGGGTAAGACGTAGGCCGAATCCTTCAATCAACGTCGCTCAGTTGGCGTTGGCGCTGGATGAGGAATGGAATCGTATACCAATGAGGAGGGTTAATACCCTGATCAATTCAATGCACAAAAGAGTTTGTGCAGTTACTGCAGCTCGCGGGGGGCACACACGATATTGATGGGTCCAGAACGCACTTCATTTTGAGTGGGGTACTCCTGAATCAACGTTAAATATGAAAGGTTTACTAAACGTACACGAATGAAATTCTCGTAGATGACAGAGTGGTCAACTATCTTCCAGTTACACCATAATTACATTCTAAAACCCTTTTCTATTTCCCGTAGTTGACCTGGAAATTCCTAATTGTGTTTCTTATTCCTTTCAGTATATATATTGAACATGCGAGGGTCCTATTCAAACACTTTTGATGTCTGTTGTGAAAAAAATACTGGTGATTATATGAAAATATAAAATTTTTCCTGAAGGAATAGTGCTCTTTTAAAGCATCCTTTAAGATGACTTTAAAAGATCACATGGAATTTCTGAAACATCAGTTTTAACCTAATTTTTTATTGATACTCTCTTCTATGTAAGCTGAAGAGTAGTTAGGTAAGTTATAGTTTGGAGGGATTGTGTGCTCAAACATAGTTTATTTACTGAGTATACAACATAGTTATACAATACAGACTTGGTGATTGTGCCCGTGTGTGCTCGTGGAAACATAGCCTTATTGACTGATGAGTCCTCTTTTCTGATCATTTTCTGACATACATACTTTTCACTCATCAATATCATGGTCCATTATTTTGTCAAAAATTGAAATGGAAAAACATGATTTTAAACAATTACCTACAGATAACTTTAAAGCTACAGTCAAACTTTGATGTTTCGAAGTTTAAGGGACTTCCAGAAAATCTATGATACATCGAATCATGCGTGGTGGGTTATATCGACATTTTCATGTTCCTGGCTGTATATAGTTGATGACATGATATTTCTACCTGAACGAAAGCAACAAATATTAAAACACATGGTTAATTGAAATGATGCATTTTTATCTTTAAACAAAACATTTTCATTCCTGAGAAAAAAACATAATGTTAAAGAGAAATCAATGAGAAAATGATCCATCATGTCACACAGTACATATATGTAATTTTCTCACTTAACATGTTTTAACAATTTGTAAAATGTCATCCCGCTGTATATGTGACCAAACTTTTTGTGTTGAGGTTCACTTCACACATCAAATGCACAAATGTTTGAATATATCTGCATATCAAAATCCCACCGTCAAATGTGTGTATAGAGGCCTCTCAAGGGAGAAGAAAAAAGTGACCTTACATACAAATGTATATCTGAGTAGGTCTTAACCATGGTGATATTCTTACTGCTTTTGTGGACTAAAGGAAGTGTTGAATCAGGATTCTGTATCTGAATACTGTTGTATCACTATGAAAGTGTCAATTCACTTAATTGTGTTAATTTGGGTTCACTGTTCATGGCAAGCTAAAAATTAAACACTCTAAAATACCCATGTTAATTATTTCCCCTGAACTAAGGAAGAGATGTTACAATAAACTTCATATTTAAAACAGGAATAATTTTGTCAGGTGCATTTTGTCTTTCGTTGTTCCTCTGTTTTAGGTATAGATGCCATATATGGATTTATCTTGTTGGTAATTTTCGATAAATGCTGGTGGTGTGTACGTTTCTCATTTACCAAATTTAAAATAATTCATAAATTACTAAAATTGGTGATCTGTATAAAGGATGGGTATATGAAAAATGAAATTGGGGCTATAACACCTGAATACAGTTAGCTTGAGAAGCTACCCTGAAAATTTACGTTTGATAACTTAAAATTGTGACTGTGACACAAGAAAAAAACTGTCATGTAGCTGTATAAACTACTTGGTATTAGTTTGTGATTGTTTACTATCTTTGTCTTGTTATCTTGTCTTGTCTTTGATAATGATTTATAAAACTGTTTAAATGATTTAGAAAATGCTTGCCTTGTGTCCTTACATACTAGTAATCATCCAGATATCCTTTTAAACAAATTAAGAATTTAAAGTACAAGTTATTGAACATTTATTACATGTGAGAATTGAAATTTTATATGAGAATATTCCAGTACAAAGGAAATCACCTAAAAGCATGAAAAATCATCGCTTATTGTCAAACATCATGTAAACTATTCAATGAGTGCATACAAAAATCATTGTTGTTAAATTTTACTCATGCCAAAATTTACCAAAACTATAGGGAAAATAGGGGTTTTTTTTCAAAATTTTCTGAAGAAGTATTTGTCAAATACGTCTGGCCTAAATAAAAGCTAAACTTTTCCCCCATGTTGTCCTTCTGTCATTGGGGTGACAATAAAAAGTGTGTTAGTTGTGAAATTGATTCTGATTCAGAAGAATGTATTTAGTGTGACTTTTATCACTTAAGGGCAAATAAAACTGGGCAAAAATAATGTTAGATTGGAAGGAAAAGAAGGCACAGAGGATTGTATTCTCTAATAGAGTGATACCACATTGTATTATTGTACAGCCAAGTTAGAGTATTTCTGTACTGCGTGGGAGATGACATGTACACAAGTGGTGCCTCAGGGACTAGCTGGCAATTGGTCCAGGCTCCAAATGACTGGGTCTTACTCATTTCACCTGCTGATTCAGGAACAGTTGTCATGAATCTGGCTGGTAGTTTGTCAAGCGAACAGGATATGTAGTGAGAAAGTTCATGATTAAGATAATAGCACTGTGTGTTTATAGCAGACATCAATATTATACTGACATGAACAATTAGAGACCTGGGATGTTTATCTCTAACAGAAAAAAAATAGATATGTCATATTTTTAATTTGTATCGCTTTTTTTATGTACCAGAGAGTAATTTTTTGCTGTTCTAGAAATTATTTCAAATCAATAAAACCCTGCATGGAATTTACAGGTCTACTCTAAAGGGAAAAAAATGCGAGATCATTTGATTTATTTTTTGAAAAATATTTACCAGTAAATATTTTGTTAAAGCATTATGAAGAAGAATCCAGAATCAAATGAGAAGTCAAAGTCATCTTACTTCAGGTCAAGATCACCAGGTCAAAGGTCAAGGTCAAATTTTATATTTTACCAGTAAATGTTTTGCTATAACAACATAAGTAAAGTTGACCAAAATCAGAAGATTGAGGAAGTACCTGATCAAAGGTCAAGATCTAAGGTCAAGAGCAATTTCTTCAGTCAAGGTCACATTTTGTATCTCTTGATTGGTAAATATTTTTGTAATATTTATGAAGCAAAGTTGATTTTATTTAAGATGATTGCCAAAAATCAAGGTCACTGGTTGAATGTCAAGGTCAGATGATATGTTTTAATGGAAAATACTTTTTTATGACATCATGAGCCAAAAAGATCAAAAAGAAACAAGACAGTTCTTGATTACTCAAATGTCAATGTCAGCAGGCTATTTCTGATCTGAAAAATATTTTTTTCTAACTGTAATGAATCAAAGTTAATTTGAATTAAACAAAGCGCCACTACATAGCAGGGTATTCACAAGGCAGAGGCAATCCCATCACACAAAACACAATTAATTACTCAGTTGAGATGCAAATAATTTGTATCTTCTGTTTCAGTTGTGCATCATTTATGGCTACTGGCATTTTCTTTTTTGTGTCACTGTTCTGAGTAAAAATTCTGATGGTCTGTCTTTAGTCATGCACTGTCTTCATATACAAGGCTGCTGTTATATAGTTGACAGCTTTACGTCTGTTATCTTACTTTATCTGCCTAAAACTTAGTTTTACGAACAACTCATGCTGACACACGATGCATTGACCTAGTAAACGTTTCCATGTATGTTAATGTAGATGAAATAAATTTTTTGTTAAGATTTTAATTAGAATGGTTCAAATGTACTTTTCTCAAACTTAGAACAGAGATTTGTTACACTAAAAGTACATATCATGTACTTTAATTAAGCAGAACTGTGCAGGGTTGAGGATCAAAGTATTGGGTGGGGGGGGGGGGGGATTGGTCATTTTAAAGTTTATATTTAAATTGTTTTGTCTTTTCAGTTCTGTTTTAATGAGTCTGATATTTAAGACTGTTCTCTCTTTTCAGTTCAGCATGTTGCAGATTTTGATGGGTCTGATATTTGATTGGTTTTGTCTTTTCAGTTCTGTGTGTTGGTGGGCCTGATATTTTGTGTGGAGCTGTTGATTGGGATCCTAGGTTTTGTTTACAAGGACTGGGTATGTAAAATATGAAATGAACCAAATGAAAAACATTGTATGATATATTATGTATATTCCTAATCACATATTGGTAGCTCATTGCAAAGTTCCTGTAGTTTTCTATCTTTTAATTGGTAAAACCTCTTTATACAAAACGTAACCAATAAGAATAATTGGTTCAGCAAAATACATTGAAACTGTAGATCAAAGCTGATACTGATTATGGCATCAACAGATCTAATTGAGGTTACAGAAATATATCCTTTTGGCTGTGGATGTTTTACTAGAAGTTAAATCTTTTGACTTGGCTTGTCTAATATATTGTAAATTTGTTAATTTTCGTGTGTGTGTTTTTTTTTTTTTTTTTTTTCCTTGATTTGATGTGTATTCTTAATCCAAGAATCCACTGACTGTTAACATAAGTATAAGTAGCTTTATCTATGATTATCTATTGATACTCATCCACAAAATAGTTTTTTTTTTCTTTTTAGAAACCATAAAAATCTAGAACCATAAAAATGTATATTTTTTACAGTAAAGACTATATGTACATAGTGGATATTGATCCACTAATGGTTTTTGTAATCTATAACAAACTGTAAAATTTTATATCATGGTCTGGAATCAAGTTTCATTATCAAAGGTTTTACTTAAAGTGTGATCTTAATTGGTTGTTTAACAGGTTAGGGGTGAGATAGAGATGCAAGTGAGAAATATGATTGTCAACTATCGTGAAGACATTGATCTCCAAAACCTGATCGACTGGGTACAGGAGGACTGGGTAAGTGATGAATCATTATTACCTCCAGTAGAGGACATAGGAGGACTTGGTAAGTGATCAGGACACAGGAGGACTGGGTAGATGATAAGGACACAGGAGGACTGGGTATGTGATAAGGACACAGGAAGACTGGGTAGGTGATAAGGACACAGGAGGACAGGGTAGATGATAGGGACACTGAAGGACTGGGTAGGTGATAAGGACACAGGAGGACTGGGTAGATGATAAGGACACAAGAGGACTGGGTAGGTGATAAGGACACAGGAGGACTGGGTAGATGATAAGGACACAGGTTGACTGGGAAGGTGATAAAGACATAGGAAGACTGGGTAGATGATAAGGACACAGGAGGACTAGGTAGATGATAAGGACGTAGGACTGGGTAGGTGATAAGGACACAGGAGGACTGGGTAGATGATAAGGACACAGGAAGACTGGGTAGATGATAAGGACACAGGAGGACAGGGTAGATGATAAGGACACAGGAGGACAGGGTAGATGATAAGGACACTGAAGGACTGGGTAGGTGATAAGGACACAGGAGGACTGGGTAGATGATAAGGACACAAGAGGACTGGGTAGGTGATAAGGACACAAGAGGACTGGGTAGATGATAAGGACACAGGTTGACTGGGTAGGTGATAAAGACATAGGAAGACTGGGTAGATGATAAGGACACAGGAGGACTAGGTAGATGATAAGGACATAGGACTGGGTAGGTGATAAGGACACAGGAGGACTGGGTAGATGATAAGGACACAGGAAGACTGGGTAGATGATAAGGACACAGGAGGACAGGGTAGATGATAAGGACACTGAAGGACTGGGTAGATGATAAGGACACAGGAGGACTGGGTAGATGATAAGGACACAGGAGGACAGGGTAGATGATAAGGATACAGGAGGACTGGGTAGGTGATAAGGACACAGGAAGACTGGGTAGATGATAAGGACACAAGAGGACTTGGTAGGTGATAAGGACACAGGAGGACTTGGTAGGTGATAAGGACACAGGAGGACTTGGTAGGTGATAAGGACACAGGAGGACTGGGTAGATGATAGGGACACTGAAGGACTGGGTAGGTGATAAGGACACAGGAGGACTGGGTAGATGATAAGGACACAAGAGGACTGGGTAGGTGATAAGGACACAGGAGGACTGGGTAGATGATAAGGACACAGGAGGACTTGGTAGGTGATAAGGACACAGGAAGACTGGGTAGGTGATAAGGACACAGGAGGACAGGGTAGATGATAGGGACACTGAAGGACTGGGTAGGTGATAAGGACACAGGAGGACTGGGTAGATGATAAGGACACAAGAGGACTGGGTAGGTGATAAGGACACAGGAGGACTGGGTAGATGATAAGGACACAGGTTGACTGGGTAGGTGATAAAGACATAGGAAGACTGGGTAGATGATAAGGACACAGGAGGACTAGGTAGATGATAAGGACGTAGGACTGGGTAGGTGATAAGGACACAGGAGGACTGGGTAGATGATAAGGACACAGGAAGACTGGGTAGATGATAAGGACACAGGAGGACAGGGTAGATGATAAGGACACAGGAGGACAGGGTAGATGATAAGGACACTGAAGGACTGGGTAGGTGATAAGGACACAGGAGGACTGGGTAGATGATAAGGACACAAGAGGACTGGGTAGGTGATAAGGACACAAGAGGACTGGGTAGATGATAAGGACACAGGTTGACTGGGTAGGTGATAAAGACATAGGAAGACTGGGTAGATGATAAGGACACAGGAGGACTAGGTAGATGATAAGGACATAGGACTTGGTAGGTGATAAGGACACAGGAGGACTGGGTAGATGATAAGGACACAGGAAGACTGGGTAGATGATAAGGACACAGGAGGACAGGGTAGATGATAAGGACACTGAAGGACTGGGTAGATGATAAGGACACAGGAGGACTGGGTAGATGATAAGGACACAGGAGGACAGGGTAGATGATAAGGATACAGGAGGACTGGGTAGGTGATAAGGACACAGGAAGACTGGGTAGATGATAAGGACACAAGAGGACTTGGTAGGTGATAAGGACACAGGAGGACTTGGTAGGTGATAAGGACACAGGAGGACTTGGTAGGTGATAAGGACACAGGAGGACTGGGTATGTGATAAGGACACAGGAAGACTGGGTAGGTGATAAGGACACAGGAGGACAGGGTAGATGATAGGGACACTGAAGGACTGGGTAGGTGATAAGGACACAGGAGGACTGGGTAGATGATAAGGACACAAGAGGACTGGGTAGGTGATAAGGACACAGGAGGACTGGGTAGATGATAAGGACACAGGTTGACTGGGTAGGTGATAAAGACATAGGAAGACTGGGTAGATGATAGGACACAGGAGGACTAGGTAGATGATAAGGACGTAGGACTGGGTAGGTGATAAGGACACAGGAGGACTGGGTAGATGATAAGGACACAGGAAGACTGGGTAGATGATAAGGACACAGGAGGACAGGGTAGATGATAAGGACACAGGAGGACAGGGTAGATGATAAGGACACTGAAGGACTGGGTAGGTGATAAGGACACAGGAGGACTGGGTAGATGATAAGGACACAAGAGGACTGGGTAGGTGATAAGGACACAAGAGGACTGGGTAGATGATAAGGACACAGGTTGACTGGGTAGGTGATAAAGACATAGGAAGACTGGGTAGATGATAAGGACACAGGAGGACTAGGTAGATGATAAGGACATAGGACTGGGTAGGTGATAAGGACACAGGAGGACTGGGTAGATGATAAGGACACAGGAAGACTGGGTAGATGATAAGGACACAGGAGGACAGGGTAGATGATAAGGACACTGAAGGACTGGGTAGATGATAAGGACACAGGAGGACTGGGTAGATGATAAGGACACAGGAGGACAGGGTAGATGATAAGGATACAGGAGGACTGGGTAGGTGATAAGGACACTGAAGGACTGGGTAAATGATAAGGACACAGGAGGACTGGGTAGATGATAAGGACACAGGAAGACTGGGTAGATGATAAGGACACAAGAGGACTTGGTAGGTGATAAGGACACAGGAGGACTTGGTAGGTGATAAGGACACAGGAGGACTTGGTAGGTGATAAGGACACAGGAAGACTGGATAGATGATAAGGACACTGAAGGACTGGGTAGATGATAAGGACACAGGAGGACTGGATAGATGATCTATTGAATCATCATTACCATCTGTAGAGGCAGGTAGAGGTGTCTTATGTAGCGTTTAATGATTTATGCAGATTAAATGCCTTGATTTAGATGGATTTGTTGTTTAAATCTTGTTTATAGTACTCATGGTTGTTTACAGTTATTGTGATTATTTACAGTTATTGTGATTATTTACGGTACTCGTGTTTGTTTACAGTTATTGTGATTATTTACGGTACTCGTGTTTGTTTACAGTTATTGTGATTATTTACGGTACTCGTGTTTGTTTACAGTTATTGTGATTATTTACGGTATTCGTGTTTGTTTACAGTTATTGTGATTATTTACGGTACTTGTGTTTGTTTACAGTTATTGTGATTATTTACCGTACTTGTGTTTGTTTACAGTTATTGTGATTATTTACCGTACTTGTGTTTGTTTACAGTTATTGTGATTATTTACCGTACTTGTGTTTGTTTACAGTTATTGTGATTATTTACCGTACTTGTGTTTGTTTACAGTTATTGTGATTATTTACCGTACTTGTGTTTGTTTACAGTTATTGTGATTATTTACCGTACTTGTGTTTGTTTACAGTTATTGTGATTATTTACGGTATTCGTGTTTGTTTACAGTTATTGTGATTATTTACCGTACTTGTGTTTGTTTACAGTTATTGTGATTATTTACCGTACTTGTGTTTGTTTATAGTTATTGTGTTTGTTTACAGTTATTGTGATTATTTACAGTTATTGTGTTTGTTTACAGTTGTTATGTTGTGGAATGACTGACTACAGAGATTGGGAACTTAACCGATACTTTAATTGTTCCTCCCCGGGGGCTGAGGCTTGTGGAGTGCCATTTTCCTGCTGTAAACCTACAAATGTAAGAACGTTGTACAATGTAATAGTTGATAGACCTATCACGTACTCATATGTTCTGTTCTCCTATCATATGTTTAAGTCAAGAAAATGCTAATTAATGGCATGGTCAAAAATTTGTTCTTCACATGTATGCAGTCAACCTGATCAAACTTCAAATTGTGTTGTTTTTTTTCAAAAAAATAATTGATGAAAAAGATTTCCCAAAATGCATAACCCATCTCAATTAGAAGTCCATATTCTCATAATTAATTTTCCATCTTTTTTTTCTGTTTCAGGAAATAATACAGAATCGCCATTGTGGCTTTGACATTTCCAAACCAGAACATGTAAGTCCACAAATCAATATATCTATGGTTCTGTATCCTTTATTGAGACATTTGTCGGTCTTCTCTGCTGTTCTATGGCCTTATGTAATTTGATTGATATTTTTGTATACTTTCCAATTTTTACAGTTTTGGTTAAAAATGTACTTACTACAAGTATAGACAATGCATGATATCTTGAATGACAGGGTCAGTGTGTTCCAACACAGACTGAAACTGTATGTACCTAATCTGTCAACACTTTGTCCATTAATATTTCACAGGTAAGTATATATGTATTGTATGTATACATAGGACACTTAGTCAAATTAACATTTTAGCTCACCTGAGCTTATGCCATGGCACAGCATCCTTTGGCTGTGAAAAGGGATGATTTAAGTGTAATGGGAAAATAAGAAGTTGTTTTACCTACAATATCTTTTGTTGTTGGTGCCTATTAATCATTAAAATATACTGCGAATCACTTAGGTTTTGTGATTACCTTATTTCTTGAACTTATCCTTTCAGACATCTTTGCGAGTACATGATTTCCTGAATGCTGTTCTAGAAACGACTTTAAATTTGTGAATGACTGCAAGATAGTGTTAATTGTTTTAACATGGATGCCTTTCAGATTTATTTTTGTACAGAAAATCTTGAGGATTTAGAATTTACAATTGACTCTTCTTGTGTTTGAACACGAAAATAAATCCCAGATGAAATAAAAGTGGTTTACAGTAGCTTCTTAATATAGGGTCTTTAATTTAAAAATTCCTTGTTTTGAAATAGGGATAATTGTGTTTCAGGATGACATCCGAAGTCGGACAATATATACAGATGGCTGTATACCTCAAGGGGAGAAATGGATGGAGGTGAATCTTATACCTGTAGCCTCAGTATTAGTGGGCATGGCTGTCCTACAGGTAAACTATCTCCCTACAGATCCACAGCATTACTACTTTCAAAAGTTCTCTATGGTCTTATAAATATTGGAGTCCTCTATTTCTTAGTAAGGACTGTCTTTTAAACATTTATGCCACACAAGTTTGAAGGTACCACCTGCGTGATATTGTCCTACCACATGCAACTTAGGAGAGGGCTGTGGTGTCAATTTTCTGTTGAGAATCATCATCAGAATCAAAGTTAAGAAATAAATGTGTTTAGGCCAGTTTTTCTGACAGTATAACTACTAAAACTACTTCATTTATAACTAAATGATATAAAATCTACAACTCAGATCTCAGAGTTTTTTTTTATTATTTTGACATGAACTTTTTTGTGAATTTTACAAGAGGTAAGATGTACAGGTATGTTAACTAAACATCAAAAATGTATAATTGTCTATATATTTCTGTACATACCTTCAACAAAACACCACGAAGATTCAATGCTTTGGCTGTGATTCAAGTTAAGTTTTTTCCTTTATCACTTCTCTTGTCTTATATTACAGATACTGGGTATTTGTTTTGCTCACAACCTCAAAAGTGATATACTGGCACAGAAAGCTAAATGGAGATATCCCTAGCTATTGAACCAGACTTCAGACAACAAAATGTGAAGGACACATAGATACTTGTATCATGTCAAGGAAAGATTCACTGTTGGTAGACAGCATTTTTCTAGACGCATCATTTCTTACAGAAAAAAGGTGTCAAAGACACATCATATTCTACAGATAACGTAATTTTGATGGTACGTAAACTTTTACAAAAATATCAGAGACAACTACAGTACTTACAACGACCTGGATTTTCAAAACAAGATTTTTTCTAACTCGACGAGGGATACCTATGATGTTTAGTAACCTGTTTACATGCTACATATTTACTTTACAACAAATTATCATTATTGTACATAATTGTAAAATAGAAATCTTTTAGATGTTGTCGTTACAGAGGATACTGATCATTAGAGTTAAATGAGCGATCAACTGTGTATATACTCTTTATACTTTTGTAATAGGCTATAGGGCAAATGATCAACTGAAAATATAATTTCAATAGATACACTTATATGAACTAAACCTCAATCAGTGATAATTTTTCCTTGGAAATCGTTTGTGATAAATCAATATTTTAATGATAAAGTTCTCTTTTTTTCCCTTCAGTCATTTCAATAATTCTTTCAATTGGTTTTTAATTATTTCGTTCAGATGTTTTTATGAGGATACGAATATCTTAAAAAAAAAGTCACATAAAAGTTTCTTGGCCTAATTTAGCCATTTTTCTTTCCATAGTGACCACTGTAGTAGTAGTGTTACAGTGTCAGTGGGGAAAAAGCAACATTGCAACAATATTGTGCATGTTGACATGTGATCACCATAGCAACAGTGTTGTGAGACTCTTACCATTGTGTATCAAATTAATAGTGGCTTTTTTGCTGCAAAAGTACAAGATCTCTAAAAAATTCTTCTATTTATATTGCTTTATTGAAATAAAATTTTTGATAACCTAACTTGATAAGAATGGTTTGATAGGAATTTTTACCTTGTAGAAATGGTGTATATATATAACTTAAAGAAAGAGAGAGAGAGAGGGAGAGATAGAGAGAGGGAAAGAAAGAGAGAAGAAATTTCGCAATTAATTTTAATACAAGATTGATGAAAAGACTACCAAAAGTCTATTGGTTTTATGTCATACTAAATGTATGTATCTCACAAGTATATATGTTTGTTCAGATATGTTCTGATGGTACCTATGAGTGAGTGACAAATATTTATTTGTAGTCAGGATTTTAAAGGCAACAATGTGTGATAGAATTTTCAGTTATATCCGTATACACTGAGAACTGTATCTGGCACAATGTATATTTCTCTGTGATTTAACCTAGTGTATATTTATAGTTTATAAAGTCCCTGATGTTAAATGCCAAGGATGCACGCAATGGCAGCTTGGAAGTTTAAATGCATACCTAAGGATACAGGCTACCCAAGGGAGATAAAAACACATTTGAACCCACTATTTGGAACTTATTTCAATTCCCTGTGTAATGACCATAAACTGTTTTGAAAACAAATGTTTACTAGAAACATTTTATACCATCTTTTTAATACTGCTGGTCAACTTTCTAATTTTTAAGGTAACACCTACAGGGACTTTGCAATGATTCCTAACCTGCCAGTCTGTATATCAAAATACATTTGTACAGACTGTGGGGTTGAGAATTCATGCCTGCAAACATATTAAATGAAGTGTATTCTTTCAACCAGTGAAATGACTAATTATCAGAGACCTCCCAGACTAGATTTTAAGCCTGATGTTAGTATGTAGTCATTTTTTCCCCACCGCACACTAGCTCGAGTCACCCATGACGTTTACACATATCCCAATCAGTGTCCTTTCATGTGTGGTAGTCATTTTTATACAAAGTCATGTTTTTAGCTCGAAACATGTGTGCTATTTGTATTATCATGTGCCAACTCCACTCGCAATTATAAGTGTCCATTGTCGTTGTGATAAAGTCTGCAATATTTATGCCATTATATGTACATTTTTGTATTTTATTTCGTCTGAAATGAAGAGTATGATTTGTAGGATATTGAAAAGAATTTTGAATTACAGAAAACCTTCGTCTTGTCAAGATGTTTAAGACAAAGAATAATTCAACTAGCAGCTGTAGTGTGTTAAAAAATAATTTTTGCTGAAATTTGTGCCTTATCCTCTAAATAAAAGGAGAGGTGACACCTTATTCTTCATGCAAGGGGAAAAGTGCAAAGCATTTCTGTATTTCGTTGCAGGGCAAAGGTCATGTTCATCATGTCTATTCAAATTCTGATAAAGGATGTTAAGATAAAATGCAAAGATAAAGAAACAAAACACATCTGATTTCCGTGTAGCTGATTCAGTCCCAATATGAATTTATCTGTCAACACAACTTTTATTTTGCAAAAATATTATTGATTAATCATGTTCACCTTGACATCTACATGTTATATGAGATTTTCAATGTTTTCTGTATTAGATGGTAAGAAAAAAAATTAAAAAGTTGCCATGAGGTTTTGTTTGTCAAGAGTTGTTCCCCTTTTGTAAAACAGTGCAATACTACATATTCATGTGCAATTTTCTTTAACATTGGAAATGTTTCTACCACTGTGGAAAACGCGATACAACAGATTTCTTTTTTACTTCTCCGTTGTTTCACTTCCAAGATAATAAAATCTGCACCATTGATCTTTACCTGTCTAGAAATGACAGGCTAGATCTGGTGTAATGTAGAAGGGATGAGACCCTAATGTCTACTGAAATATCTCATACAGTTACTACAGGTACTCTGAGTACAGTAATTATGTATATAACCTCTCAAATATGATATGAAATTAATGGCATTTTTTATGAACAGAAAAGATTTGTGATAGATATTATAAAAACCATTTGAGAATTCAGGGATGAAATTTGAAGAAGATACAGATTTTGGCCGAAAGAACTTCTCAGAAGATAGATGTACATGTGTTTGTTATATGTTTCTTACATAAATAATCAATTTGAAATATGAATGAGAGTCTTGCACAGGTTTAAGTATTGATATTGATTTCCAGTGTAGTTTTAAAAGTCCCATTTTAACTGGTATGCTTACTATATTGTTGTACTAGATCATGCTGTGATGATGTACGTGTTATGTCTGTTCAACCCTCTCATAAAGTGGATAGATTGATATCTTCAGGGCTTTGTATATGTTAAGTTGCATTTTGTCTTTTATCATTTGTTGTGATTTTTATTTGGCATTAGAAATCTTATTAAGAGAGTCCACCCTTTTCCCAAATTCCCTTTAGAATCTCTTTATACTCTCACATAGTGGCTACTGTGAAATCTTATATTATAATGGGGCCCAGTCATTGTGGGTTTTTTAAAAAAAATTAACTTACCCAGTACACAGTATTCAATAATTCATGCACATGTGATCAGATTTCATGAAGTATTCATGAAATTAAAAAATAAAAAATCCCCAACGAAAATTAAGATTTTATACTATACACAAGCATGGATGATTTTATCATTCTGAGCAATTCAAAATTTTGGGTTTTTTTTTTTTAGTTTTTTATAGAAAAGTACCTTTAACACTAATGTTCATATTTTAACCATTTCATTTTGAGGCAATATTCAAAGTTATTGCAATATTTAAAAAAAAAAATTTGTTTGAATGTGTAAGACAAAATATATGTAGTACAATGTATACCACTTAGGTAAACCATATATATATGTATACTTACACATTTCTGATGAGGTTGTTTACAAACTTCATGCATATGCATGTATAAGTGAAACTACTGCAATACCTGACTGATACAGAAGTATATGACAAGAAAAAAATGAATTATCGTTAGTTGAGGGTTTCTTAAGCATTGGTTTGTAATCTAGTCAAATATGCTTTCATTTAATTTCATGGTTGATAGTCATTATTTTTATCTTTTTGTGAGAAATGTTTTAGTTTCACTTTAATGAACAGCTGCTTATTTTCAGAGTTGTAGAAAATTCTGGTAAAGAGATGTTTCATATGAAGAAAACAACAATGTAATAAAAACAGGTGACTAAGGTTTAAAATGGCAACTTTATACTGATGGGAATCGGTTCTTGTCGATTAATCAATCATTGAACACATATGATTGATCAATTATTGATTTTAATTGGCTTCAAAATAGCTTGAGTTGTTTGGTTTTTGTATTAAAGATACTGTAAATTTCAAATCATTGTTTTAGCTCAACTTTGAAAATTGTTACTATATATCTGTATGTTTGTGAATTTATACATTAAGAATACCACAAATTTAAGCTTTCAAGGCAACTGGTTGTAAATTATCTCAAAATGTCCAAATAGATATAAGGAGTAATACTTTATTACTGTATTTCTGAGATCTGGCAGTCATTTTAAATCTGATTGGTTATACATATCACTAATCAATTGATTTTCGATAATTTGCCCATCATTATAGCTTTTAAAATTTTATGCATTAAAAGTACATGCATTTGAAAGATTCGTCATTATAATTGATGTGTATGATAAATATACAGTTAAGTCCCTCTTTATCATGGCAGTTTTAATGTAAATGTGATGTAGAGATCATTGCTTTAACTGGCAGAAGTCTCTTCCTATTATATTTAGCTTTGACTTTGGGGCAATTGCTCTATATTTCTTGGTTTTTACAAATTTTTAAAAGATCTTTTTACATGTGGGTTTTTTTTTAATGGACATTTGAACTTAGAAAAACTTAAATGAATCTCTGCCAAGGCAACAAGGAATGATAAATGTAGTTTCATATAAAAGATGATTAAATTTCTTACTTGTCTTGCATTTCAAACAACCTGTTCTCTACGAACACAGCTGAAATTTGTTTGGTTTTAACTCTATGAATGGTGTTTTATACCTTAGTGTATCTGTGTAGTTGCTCTTGTTATACACTGAATTTGATAAAATTTTGCTTATTTCATACTTTAAATATGATGAAAGTAATTTCAAGATTTTATAATTTTACTATCATAATTGATGGATCGTGATTGTATTGCTGCAAATTTTATTTTCAAATAGCTATAGCAATGTTGTATGTGAATTTCATATTGAAATTTGGTTGTGCATCAATAGATATATATCAGATCCTATTTGGATTTCTAACATGTTAAGATAAGTCATGTTATCTCTCTATCATGGTCAGCTGTAATATTTTGGAGTATTCATCTGGAACATCGGTGAATTTTTATCAATATATCATATTTCCAGGTAAATAATGTCATATTTTGGTCCAGAATCCAAGCACTTGCTCCTGATATATAATTCGTCTCCCACCTGGATCCTGATTTTCTTTGATGTGTCAAACAATCTTTGAAACAGTCTTTCTTGGTAATACCAAATCTAAATCTGGTAAAAATAGTCCCTATTTTAAGAATTGGCATCAGATGTATGTAAAACCACACATTGATATGGGAGTAAAGAAAGAAAAGCAGCATTCTAGTTAGATATACAGACTGTTTCCCAATTCAGTGAACAAAACAGCATGCTGCAAGTTAATTTAAACACAAGTGATACTCATGTCTTGAGGCATGTGTAGGTTAGGGGAAGGAGAATTCTTTTTAGAGTAAAGCTTACTTGCTCCAACAGGCTGATAAAAAGACTCAGCTCAAGAAACCCATCTGAATCTGCCATAGTTTGAATTTGTAAAATTTGTTAAGAATGTCCATCTTATCATTGGATTATGACTCTGTTGAGGCTCTAGAAGAGTAGCTGTGCAGGCTCTAGAAGAGTAGAGGCAGTGTATTACATGTTTCTATAGTCATGTAGTTGAAGGAAGGTTTTGTTACAACTCCAATGTCTCTACAGTGTCATTGTACATTGTACACCATGTCATCAATAAAGTCTCTTCTATTTTTACTCATGTTTTTCATTTTATATCATAAAATAGCACACACACAGGCTATGGTCTACATTTTCAAATATTTTCAGAAGAGTACAGTTTCATGCTGCTTATTCCAAAAGAAAAAATGTTTTCTATGTATTGAATTGCCCTCTGTCTGATTATCAAACTGAAACATTCATATACAGTGTTGCATTTAAGCTATACAAGCATGTAACTACCGTGTATACAAGTTAGTGATCAAACTGTATCTCTCAAAACCTACTGTTGCAAGTTTATCTGTTAGGTGTTCACCTCTTGCATGGGAATTGTGATATTGAGACAAGCCCTCGATATATCATATCAACTGAACTGCAGATACTGTAGTTTATGGAAGCAGGCACAACTACCATCTATAAATGGAAAGTTCAAAATGGGAAATCAAAATCATCATGTTGGTCATACAGCTTGGTGGACAGCTGTCCATTGTGTAGGAAATGACCGAGTAATGTTTCACTGTGGATGGATGGTATAGCTTGACAGTTGATGGGGCTGAGAATGATACAATGGACACTGTTAATAACCTTCCTGTTATTTTAAGTCAAGACATTATCAATGTACCTTAAAAGTAAAATTGAGGGACATGGCAAGTCTTCGTGGCCTGTTTTGATAAGAAAACAATTTCCATAAAAAGAAGCAAAAGGATATGGAACAAGGAATTAGTTACCTGTTCCTGAAAAAATCTGCAAATATCTGATGCTATTATCGACAGACAAGAAAAAAATGACTTGGAATATTACTGGATAGCTTGTTAAATATCAAATACTGTTGAAGATTTCATATATTTTGATAACGCTGTTTAAAGAATTTTCAATTTTGGCTCATTACTTAATCAAGACCCTGGCCTGGCTGTTTAAGGTTCTTTTATTTTAACTAGTAAATAATAACTTGCTTATTTATTTTTCTATATCTTTCTACTAAAAAGATAAATAAAAACAATTATTCCTTAAAAAAAATCTATATCAGTGACAGCATTTCTGTATTTTCATTAATTTGGTACAGCTGTTGTGTATATTGGAATGAAACAACAACATATTCTCCTGGAAAATCTCGATTAATATTGTCAATCATGAATCGTTGGCAGTGATGCTGACAGGTTGAGTTATGTATCTGATGAAATTTTGTCAGCATGAGAGAGATTGTCAGTTTTGTTTGAAAAGATCAAAGTCAATGCAAAAAAAGGTTAGTTACAGTGAAATATTTATAGGTGTCTTACAAACATGTCACCAGCTAGCTATTCACCATAATTATAATTTGCCGACATCAAACTTTTCTTCCTCTGACTTCATCTTCCAACAAGGGAGTAAAACTCTTATGAGTGTAGACATCGACACTGTACACATGTACACGGATTTCAGCTAGACAAGTTCATAGCTACCGAGATAAAGAAAACACTATATTCTTAGACATCGACACTGTACACATGTACATGGATTTCAGCTAGACATAGCTACCAAGATAAAGTAAACACTATATTCTTAGACATCGACACTGTACACATGTACATGGATTTCAGCTAGACATAGCTACCAAGATAAAGTAAACACTATATGTACATGGATTTCAGCTAGACATAGCTACCGAGATAAAGAAAATAATATATTCTTAGACATCGACACTGTACACATGTACATGGATTTCAGCTATACATATACTGAAACGAAAAAAAAACGCAACTTGGAAAATTGTTATTAATTTTGTATTAAATATACATAGCTGTATAAAAATTGCGGAAATAAAAGTGCACCATGCCTATCACCCTAACCAATGTTCAAAATCAAGCAGGTGTGACGAGAAACCTATGCACATCCGGCCAGTAAAAACCGGCTGAGATCAGGACGTCCACGCGTAACGTCGCGACGTCAAGACCGGGTGGTTAGGCTGGCACACTTGCGTAACAGGAGGTTAACGGCTGCTGAAACGGCAAGGAATACGATTGATAATCATAACCATCGGATTCATCCCCAAACAGTGATCAACAGACTGCGTGAGGCTAATTTGCGTGCAAGGCGACAGTACGTAGGTTTACCACTAACACCGTAACGTCGAGCACATCGTATGCAATGGTTGACGGCACATATGCCCAGACGTTTTCCTATGAGACGTTGGAGGTCCATGCTCTTCACCGATGAATCTCGATTCACGTTATTTCGAGCAGATGGCCGTCAACGTGTGTACCGGCGTCGAGGCGAACGTTTTGCTGACGCCTGTGTTTTGGAGCATGACCGATTTGGGGGTGGATCAGTTATGGTTTGGGCGGGACATGGTTTGAAGACACCTTTGGTGATAGTCAATGGGAATTTAACAGCCGTACGCTATCGGGATGAGATCCTTAGGCCCCATGTTGTGCCGTTTGTTAGCATCATCTAACCTTGCAGCAAGATAACGTAAACACGTTGCATAGAGACTTTGCGACACAGAACATTGTTCCTATAGATTGGCCTCCATATAGCCCCGATTTGTCCCCACAGCATTTGTGGGATGAACTACGCCGTAACCCCCCAAATACCCTCCCCCTGTTAGCAAATGCACTCGTCCAAGAATGGAATAACATTCCAATACGGACAGTCAATGCCCTGATGAACTCGATGCAACGAAGAATTAGAGATGCTATAGCTGTTCGAGGTTTCAAAACTGCTGCCATTTCAACTTGGATTCACGTAGGGTACTACCAATCATGACCTTCTAGCGAAGTGACCTTTTCTTAAAAATCTCCAAACATTTAGAGGATGTTACATCAATATTCAATATTAACTATTACATATGAAATTAAGACATAATGCTCACAAGTATTATTTTATTAAACCTACAATTTGAAGTTGCGTTTCTTATTCATTTCAGTATAGCTACCAAGATAAAGAAAACACTATATTCTTTCTTGTATGTCACAGTTTATTGATACTTGGAATGTACAGATTGAAACATAACCACTATTCATGAATATGCAAACAAACCCAAACCAGTTTTATGTGATGTCGTGAAACACAAAAAATAGCACAATAAATTATTGACAGAAAATCTAATGAAACTTAAGTATACAGCATATTCCTTATATAATTATTTTAATAACAGATTTAGTTTCCACATAAGTTAGCATTGATCTGATGGAAGAGAAATGAATCACGGACAGTTCCCTCTTTAACATCAACATAAACAGATTTTTACCATATTTTCTGGGAAGCAAATTTTACTCTTTTTAGTTTAATTTTAGTGTTTCCAAATACTGTAATGAATTAGATCCTGAGTTAAACATGTATGCATGACAACTTTATTATATGGAGCATTGATACAATTAATTGTATAACCATAACATTGTGTATAACTTCAATATAATGTGTGTAGAGTTTATTTCATTAAAAATAAATAAAAAAAAAAAAAATGACCACTTTTTGAAAACAAAATGTTCACACTTATATCAGTACTGACCTGTACCTGCAGCTACATGACATTAGTACCAATAACATCTGTGTTAAGTATAGGCTATCATTTTGATTGTTGTATAATTCATCCATGATCAATGCATCTATAATTAGAGATCCTAGAGGGATCTTGGTGCCCACCATTGTTTGATCTTTATTTGCTCTTTGAAAATTGGATCTTTCCTGTTCTTTTCTCTTCTCTGTTTTTGCTCTTACTGCTAACACATTTGAACATTCCTTTGCAGAAATAGCGATAATAATCTTCACCTGCCAAATCCAAAATGGCCATTTGGAAGCCATTTTGTTTCTGATCAGTCCAAAAATTATATGGGCACAACGAGGGACAAAAGGAAACCTACATATGAAATAAGAAAGATCCATCCAGTACTTCTCAAGAAATAGTGATAACTTAAAGTCTGATGATGGTGGGCTAAAGATAAAGAAAACTTGTATAACACAATGCTTAACATGGTGTATGCAGCACAATTGTATATCGATGAAAACTAAATCAAATTTGTGCAGAATTATAACATAATTTTAAACACAGATATATATTTTTGTAAATACTGAAAACACCATTTCTACAAGAATTTGTTCTACATGAGACAGACCATTACAGGGTCTTGCCATAATCTATTTTGCTGTTTACCCCATAAAATACTTTTTTGCATCACTACAAATTGTGCATATTGTGAAAAACATTATTTTAGCCTAATTCAGGTAAATATTACACTGCCACAAAGCCTGGGGTTTTACCTCACTGTTGACCAAATTTTTTTAAAAGTTTGTTATATCCACACCAGCTTTGAATAAAAATTCTTTTAACAGTCAATCTTCTATGAAAGCAAGTCACTTATTGTAGGTACAATGTACACCTGTGTACCAGGTACATGTGTATACAATTATTCTAGCGTGAAGCCATAAATTTTCTCCATACAAAATTCGCAGTTGCCAATATCCTAAAAATAATGTGTCGTTAAAAATATTGCACAATTTAATTTTATATCATCAACATCGACAGCAAAATGTCAGCTGTTTGGTTATTTAGATTTATAAGGTAGCAAAAATAGAACCAAGAAGACTCTGAACCAATTGTATTCATAGGTCGATGAACCCCATTTCTACTAGCTTAGCTTTGGGACTTAGAATGGAAATGTAATCATGTATATAGATATATAATTATACAAGACACAAAATATATGTACCTTATAGAATATTAATACTAGATGGCACTATAAATATAAACAACGATTTGATATTTCAGCAACCCATCTTTTTGGCACAGTATTGCTCCATCATTTACAATGACACACAACATGTATACTTTTCTACACAAAAATACATTTTCTATCGCCGAGATCACACAGATTAAATAGTTTGTAAATAATTATGCAAGTGTTATCATGGTCACCTTTTCCAAGTGTCTTCTCCAGAAATCACAAGAGTTCCTTGGAACTGTATGTGTTGCCAGCATAAAGCGTCACCGAGAAATCGAACTGGATGTGCAACATTCAACCATAAAGTTGTAATACCAAATTTCATTTCTATAACTCGAAGCATAAAGGGAAAACAGTGCAAAGCAATATTCCTGAGAAATTTTCGAAGTTCTAAGGGACATATCACTGCCAAGAAGGGTTACAGAATGTCAAGAAGCGAACTCGGTACACAACTTTTGACCAAGAACTCATATACAAAATTGCATTTTGGTAACTCGAAGCATAACCAAGAAAATTTTCCAAGTTCAACGGGGCATAACCCTGCCAAGAAAGCCGTGAATCGAACCTTATCTGTAATGTTTGACCATGAAGCCATTTCTCATATTTCATTTCAAAACTCAAGAAAAGTACAATAAACTATATTCCCAAAGAATTATCGAAGAGGCATAACTCTGCAAAGAAGGGTCACAGACAGCCAAGAATCGAACTTAATCTGTACCCTTCCAACAACAAGCCATATACCAAATTTCATTTTGATAATTCAAAGCATTACAGAAAAAAAGTCCGGAAAACTTTCATATGGACGCCACCGACGCATGACAACGGACAAAGTGATCCTTAAGTGTCCGCCATCTCTGCAGGCGACACAAAAACAAAACTAAAGCGTAAATTCTCTAAACTGGCCTTTCCACGATCCAGGATTCTCTATATTTGTTAAAATAAATGAATTCAACTTCAGTTAAGACAGTTATTCAATGTTCAAGATATCCAGTTTAAACAGATTCAAATTTATTACTTGAGTTTCTACAGACTGAACTTAACATAAATATTCTCAACCAAAGTAACAAGTGGCTAGATAGTTAATCATTCTACAATGTTTACCCGTAGATAATTTATAAAGATTTTTTATCATCAAATTATAAACTAACATTTTTTCAGACTACTTAATAATTCTCAGATATCTTCTTTTCACAAAATGTGTTTAAAACAGGAAAAACATATTGAAATCACATTGTAAAGTCTGTAGATTTTTTATTACCTTGATCTGAAACCCCAGGAAACAAGGAACTTGATGAAATTTGTTTTGCATTTGTTATCTTACTTACAGTCAAGTGTACCTTAAAAAAACAAGTGACTATCACTTATATCAAACATAGTACATCATGTTTTGATTAACAAAATACTAACACATATTTCAATAACATTTTGTTGTATTTCAACCATTTGACCAGCAAGAGTTTGGCATTAAAACGCATGGTAATTAAAAAAAAAATATATCAAGGGAAATAGTAATCAGGAAAACAAACATTTCATTAATTATAAAAAAAAAATTCAAAAAATAAGATAACAAGAGTATATTAGAGTATATTCAGTATGTTGGCACTACTAAAGAATTAATCGATAAAACGGCATTATAATGAGATATAAGGGCATTATAATGAAGTTTTACTGTTTTGTTTATATTTTTGGCACTATAAAGCGTTGTAAGATAACACATACCAGTAACAGGCTTGAACCTTTCAAGATGTGAATTTTAATAAGAACTGACAAAGGCATTCAAGTTTCACTCTAAATTAAATTTTTTTCCCCAACCAAAGTCTGTCATTATAATGGGTTGTAACACAACAACATAGTTTAAAAGCTGAAAGTAATGCAGATTATAGGGAGGTTTAGCAATATAAATGACGTCATGGAGAATTTGTTGAGTGGAAAGCTATGGGCTAGCACACACTTTATATACCTATGAAGGCACTCACACTGACGCACGATAATGCCAAAAAAAAAAAGAAAAAGAGAGCAACATTACAGATATTTCAGCTAATTACACACATGTAAACTTTTGCACTTATATGCATCACTCATTGCCATTTTGATTCCCATGGTTAGTTCTGTTTGGCCTTATGCTCTTTGCTGGGACTTGGCGTTGCCCTCGGTAACCCACCACTCCCTATCAGTGAAAATATCCAGTGAAGTCCAAAGAGACAGCAGAAACCTACAACTACAATATATTCCATGTAGTTTCTGTAGGGGGTGCCACATGCAGTGTACCACTCCACCCCTACTGGTGGTTTACCCTTGATGCAGTGGAAATCAAAGTAGTCTTCATCATAGTCCTCCAGACATAGGTACTTTCTCTTTGTCAGGATCTAGTAAAAGGGAGATAACTTTTAAGTAATTCTTACAGTACATGTGTAGCCTTGAAAATAATGGAAAACAATGCTTGGTTATATAAAACATTCTACAGACCATGAGCTACCTGTTTCATAACACCGCTGATGACCATAGACAAAATTATGGTATACTTGTAAAAGTGATAAACTTGATTGCAAAATACCCTTTGATAATTCAATTCCTTCTACAGATCCCTACCAGCACGCAAGGTAATAGTATTCTGAAATTTATAAATATATCTAAACCTCACACCGGCTAGTACCATGGAATATTGTATAATAGTATATCCATGCACAAGTCATTCAGTCTAAATAACACACAGTAATATACACTAATAATTCAAACATTTAAATGACTCACCTGTCCAGATGCAGCGGTCATCTCAACAGTCTCGTTACATGGTCCGATGACCTCATGCAAGCCGATGGAGACCTGCTCCTCTGGTTTCCCAGTCACCACCAGATGTAAGAAGAATGTAAAGTAGACAACAGCCAGTAGTGTGATCTCGCTGAACCAGCTTGCTGTTGGGAAAAAGAGATACAAAATATCTATTCAGTTCAGTTCACTTAATCAAAAAAGGTCCCTTCTGTGGCTCGGCCCCAGGTGAAAATCACACTATTACTTATTTACTGGGACTTAGGATGGCTTACTGGTAAAGTAATGATGATTTTAGAAATTAAGAGATTATCAAAAAATAGGAAAAAGATATGTTATGTATCAATTAATCAATTTTGTTCGCAATGAATAATTAGTTACTTTCAAATGAAATAACAGATCATGAACTCTCTATTTCTAAGTAATGATCAGGTAATATGTATATAACACTAAATGTGACAGTGGATTACTGGTTTTTTATCTAAAAAAAACTGGTCAATTAAATACCATTAAATTAATTATTAAAATTAGAGATCGTCTTTAATGGGAAGGGCCAAGTAACTATTTTTGATTATTTTTCTATAGTTTAAACAAATTTAGAGTAAACAATTCAGACAATTTTGTTAATATAAATCTGGAAAACAAAAGTGGAAGTTACCAGGCTTTTACTACCTCAGACAACGGTGTCTACAGTATCTGCATTATACATTTCGTTAATATCCACTTTCAGACCACAAAATACTTCTCAAACACCTGAGTTCCTGTTTATTTTCGGGGACTGTCAGTGAGTGTTCAGTACTCTCAAACAAAAATATCTAGGATTATCACAGTTTGAACCTTAAACACAGACTGCTTATGTATCATTACAACTACTCTGTCTTCACAGAAATATAATACACCCCCCCCGCCCTTCCACAGAAAGATTCTATGAAAATTACTAGTAATTCTTGACTTACTTTTTCTTAGTTTCTCTGCACTCTGTGACCTCTCTAGACATGCTGCTCTGTCCCCCTTCCACATAATCATCACATACACAGCAAAAAACATGATGACACAGATCTCGGTGTGTATGTTATAATTATCATGGAGTATGTGGTAGTTTGGGAGGAACTGGAGGGTACCCAAGGGGAAACCTAACATGGCAGCAAACATTGTGTTGGGAACTTCTTTAAAAAATCTGAAAAAAAATTAACAAACAACTCTGAGTTTCGTGTGTCACACACTTGACAATACATAACTCACAGTTCTATATTTAGAAAGTGGCCATGACATCAGGAATTGCTAAATCAGCAATTATCCTATCCATCCAATTTTTCTGATACAATAATTGGCTACACAGGACAGTGTTTGTCAATAAATGTAAATAAATGTGTGCCACATGTCATAGCAAAGTAGGTGAAAAACAAAAACTTTTAGATGTAGCATATTGTTGTTTAAAAATCAAGAAAAAATAAAGATGATAAAAATTGTTAAAAGTATTTTCACTAATCAATTTTTAAGTCAGTTTGCACAAAAATCTAGGAATGAAAGTTTACTGAAATAATCTTCAGCCATTGAAAATAGCATATTTTGCATACAAGATGTCAACAAACTTGCAGCTGTAAATAATGCACTCACCCTTTGCTCTGAAATCTGTTGGCATTTCCACCAAACAATTTGTGGAAACCATGGAACGCAAAAGTGAATCCACAGGCAAAGGAAGCATGAAAGTAGTAGCTCGTCCAGGGCGCCCAATACATTCTGTCGTAAATGTTGGGGTCAGTATCATGCCATGTCCAAGCCAGGTGCTTGACCGCACAGATATCATAGGGTAGATCTATGATAACTACAGTCAGGCCCACTATAAAAAGATTTTTTTTGTTAGTGATAAGGTGAAAAGAATAATAGGTAGAACACAGGAGTTTCACTTTTGTGACATTTCCTTAAATTTCTTAATTCACAGCTTTCACAACAAGTAACTAAGATCCCCAAATGTTTTAATATGAATACATGTACACCATTCTACAAAATGCAGATGCTTTGAAGATAACTGCAGTTTTGTATACCAGGTATTTATGTTAGCATAATGAAAGATATTTTGTGACACAAAACATTACGAAAAACAGAACTTTTCAATCAACTTTGTTTAATTTGAAAATTTTCTGTTTCTCAATTTTTAAAGAGAATTTTGTTCAGTTTTGTGTTTACTTCTCTTCTAGATAAGGGCAGTGAGTTTTTTATTCAATGAGGATAATTACCAGCGAATGGTTCCGCCCACCACTTCAGCCTCCAATGGGCAACTGCTACTGATGCAGTATACAAAAACACAGAGTCTGAAACATTTTAAATAGAAATTGCAGGTGTTTGGAAAAGACTGACAGTAAAGTGAAAGCAAAAATACTTTTTAATACAGTATTCATCTCTTTGAAATTAAATTCATCAACACAAAAAATTGACTTATTTGTACTTTACATACACTCTCTTATCTACAGTTAATTATGCTTTGATATTTTTTTATATGATGAGATGGAACTTACAAATGACCACAATGTAAAGTGGAAGTCTACCCCCAAGGAACATGACCATGCCCTGGGCGTGCCAGAAATTATCAATTTCTGGAAGGTTGTAGCTAACTGCCTCAACAACAAGTCCATGTAAGATGACTCCTAACCACAGCCACTTGAATCGCCCACCATTCCTCAGGGCTGTAAAAAAGGAGGGACATTTTCAATATATCAAACACATAAAAACAAGTGCACTCATTAACTAGTAAATAAACAGATAAACAAATGTTGGTTTCCTACATGTTTGAAAACATAAATAGAAAGTAGTTTCAAAGGGTTGAAATTGACTTTAATAGAACTTTCTTAAAAACAGTCATAAAGAGAAAATTTGTATAAATATATATATGAACTAATGATAAAGATTAGGGATGTTTGGGGTATCTTAAATTACTTGGTTAAGGTTCTTCTTTGCTCTGCACTACAAGTAGGATTTTTGCCTTATAAACAACAAAATTTGGTGAATTACGTTCCCATTTTAACACACCACCTCACCAAGGTGAACCTATACCCAAATTAAGAAGTGATAATGATTAGTTATGTGGGAGATAAACCCCTACAATTACTATCCTTGATATAGGCCAAAGGTCAGAATGTAGGTCAGAGTGACCTACTTTTGATACACAACACATTGCCTCACAAAGATGAACCCATACCCCAAATAAGAAGTTCCAGTGACTGGTAGTGTAGGAGATAGAACCCAGACAATAACTTTTTTATGTAGGCCAAAGGTCAGAATGACCTACTTTTGATCAAAAAGACATTGCCTCAACAAGGTGAACCTTCATCCCAGGATTCAGTGACTATAGTAGTGTGGGAAATAGAGCTTAGACAAAGTTTTTTTGTTTGGGTTAAAGGTCAAAATATACCTGATAGTTCAGCATGATCTAATTTTAAAAACATGACAGAACTTCTCATCAAGGTATACCCTCACCACAAGTTCCAGTGACATGTTTCAGTGGACAATGATAGATAGTGTAGGAACCTTACCATGAATCAAAGTGAGCAGGGCACAGAAAAAGGTCATTATCTCCAATTTGAAAAAACTTGGATGGTGTTTGTAGATGTCCATTGGGTCACGGAATTTCACCCACCAGTCCAAGTCCTAGAATGAAAGAAAACATTCATCTGATGTTAGATTTTAAAACATTAGTGACATTTTTAATTGCTTGAATATACTGGCTGATTTGCTGTCACTAACCAGTGGAAAGCAGCGGTAGAATTTTGACAACTTGGCAATTAAATATTGCATATACACACATCTAAGCCAACATAATCGAAGCCAATGAACGTGCCAAGTTTAGTTCCAATCACATAAAGATATGTGGCTTATATGTATACATGTATTAGATTGTTGCTGTCACCTGGGCTGTGACAACTTCTGGTCGCTGTGTACTCTTTCGAACATAACAGGCCTATTGTACGCTTACATAATAGTTGCACAACAAAGCTGATCTGTTTTAATATAAGAACTTGCATCTCCCCGCGGATTAAGATGTCCAAGTCCATAATCTTGTCGCCCCTTTCAAAACACAACGAATATCAATATCTATGCACTTCAGCCAGTTATAATCGTAGGAGCGAGTACCGTCAGCTGTTAAATATTATCATTTAAAATGTGTTTACAAAAAAAGTACAACTTGCTTTCCGTTCGTTTAACAACTTCTAACTCATTATCTATAGTTGTGCGTGCAAAGAATACATAATAGGTACAGTATTACAAAAATAAACAACCTGAAAGAAATCCATGGTCATATCCGTCCCTAACACAGTCGCCGCAGCGTGGTGCGATTACAAGTGTACCTTGACCTATTGACCTCGTGGCCTAATCTTTTTTCAGACTGAGTTTTCCTTAAGGGTAATATTATATCATATACGATCACGGCAATATGATAGGAAAGTAAATACCCTATTCTGAAAGGAACATGTAACAAAATTGTATACACTATTCCAAAATAAATATGTCATCTTCGAATGAGAAGGATGTTTTCGTGTAAAATATATTCCCCCATTTCGGGCCTCAGAGCTAGTATTTTATTTTCGAACTACTGATTTGTATTAAGGTGAAAGCTGGAAGCTATGACAAGTATCTGGTCTAAAATATGTTATAAATCGCTATTTAAGGGATTTCAAAAATTATTGTATACCCTTTAATTCGCAACTGCGGCGGTGCACATTGTTGATTGAGAGCCAAACACAACAATCGACAATGGCGGACAGTGCGAGTGAGTTGGAGAGCGATACCAGCTCCATTGATGGGGGACCAACGATGAAACCCCCGTCTCCAGCTCAGTTAGAACAGCTGCAAAAGCGACTTGAGTCAATTCAGCAGGAAAACAGAGTGTTGAAAATGGAACTGGAGACGTATAAGTTAAAGTGTAAAACGTTGCAAGAAGAGAAAAAGGAACTGCAAAAAGCCAGTGTCAACATCGTTAGTGACTTTTTGTCATCTGTGTTACTCAAATATTCAATTTTATCATTTCACAAGATTACCATTTTTAATTAATTGATATATTTTTCCTGTAAATATGTAATTTCATTGTTTTTATTCAGCTGCTTATTGTTGACATGGGCATTTAAATTTGGATAGACATGGAATTTTATCACGTATGGAACATGTGTGATTATGAGAAGAAAATGAGTCACGGATATTTTTGTGTTTTAGCCAATTAAATGGCAACATATGACGCACCTTTATATCACACCATACGAAAATATGTTTTTCTTTTCAGCACACCAGAAAAAACAGGCGATGAAATATTGTTACAATAAATTGAAGGGACCAACATAAAAAAAAGAAACTTTAAAAGGCTTAAATATGCGAATGTTTTTTTTAAAATTTCAGCAAGCCCGAGCAGAACAAGAGGAAGAATTCATCAGTAACACTCTGTTAAAGAAAATCCAGGCATTAAAGAAAGAAAAAGAAGCTTTAGCTATGAATTATGAACAGGAGGAAGAATTCCTGACAAATGACTTATCCAGAAAATTGATGCAGGTATATTTTTTCTAGACAGTATCTCTGTAAAAAGTAAAATGATGTATGCATTGGCAAACAAAATTGTACATGTGGGACATAAACGAAAGGTGTTTAGTCATTGATGATGATATCGCTAGGTCCACAGGATACAGAATCTTGGAATTTCTGAGCTTTCATATTTTTGTTTACTCACTGGCATGTTTGCTTTCATTCAAAGTGAAATCTGTGAGATTTAATGTTGAAATCAATATCATATCAAAACTTTCTCATTGAGCATCTTGACCTGGACTAAAATAACCCAAACTGGTAGGGTAAGGTTGGGCAGAATATGGGTGGGAGTGTCATCATCGGGCAGGAGGTCAGAATAACATATATTCTTTCTCTTATTTTTCAGTTGAGACAAGAGAAGGTCGAGTTGGAGCATACCCTGGAGAAGGAACAGGAGTACCAAGTTAACAAATTAATGAGGAAAATAGAGAAATTAGAGAGGGAAACTCTCACAAAACAATCCACCTTGGAACAGGTAATTCATTTCAGAGGGAAACTCTCACAAAACAATAAATCTTAGAACAGGTAATTTATTACAGAGGGAAACTCTCACAAAACAATAGACCTTGGAACAGGTATTTATTACAGAGGGAAACTCTTATAAAAACAATAAACCTTGGAACAGGTATTTATTACAGAGGGAAACTCTTATCAAAACAATAAACCTTGGAACAGGTATTTATTACAGAGGGAAACTCTCACAAAACAATCTACTTTTAAACAGGTATATATTACAGAGGGAAACTCTCACAAAACAATCTACATTGAAACTGGTAATTTATTACAGAGGGAAATTCTCACAAAACAATCTGCTTTGAAACAGGTACTTCATCAGAGAAGGATATTCTAACAAACTATTCACTTAGAAACATTTATTAGGGAGGAAAGCTCTCACAAAATCAATTTTGACAGTCCACTTTCGAACAGTTAATTTAGAGAGGGAAATCCATATGAAATATTCAACTTTCGAACAGTTAATTTATTATAATAGAACAGTGACTTAAAGCATTACAAATAGACATCTTGTCTTTCATTTCCATCCTGTTATATACATGTATATATTCTAACAAAATCAAAACAAGATACATTACATTACAAATGTATATATAAGACACATTGTGTTGACAGTATTGAAGAAGTAATGGCTAATGATGTCTACCAATATAAGAGAATGTCGTTGGTTCCACAAAGGAATTCATGATTTGTTGTAAAACTTGCATTCAATTAACAGTTTACAGTACAATGCTTCAGTCTTGTTACATGAATTTATGTTTCAGACATTGTCATTTAATTAGAAAATTATCAAGTATTATAATGATAAATTCATTTATAAATGAGAAATACATTTGATAAAAAAATAAATGAATGTAAGATTTTGGTAATACAAAGTGTTAAATACCATTATTATGAAACCAATTTAATTGTATTGTCAAGCTCACCATGAGCCAGGTAGCACAGCATAGTGATTGAAATATCACACATAAATCTGACCAGTTGTGATAAACAAACATTTAATCACCTTATATGTGAACTCTGAAGATGACAAAGCACCATGATCACACATCATTTCATTCGTTATGTCTATTATATAGAATTTCTACATTAAAGCTTTGATAGGAATGTTTTTAGTTTCATGCTGGTATGAAAGAAAAACCTATTTGCAAACTGTTAGAAGTTTTAACACACCCGCTGTAAGGTGGCATGTTGCTGTTGACTCCTCCAGTCATTATCAAGTGGGCGGAGCTAGATGTTTTTTTTTTCGTCAGAGAAACAAAAAGTAAAAACCCAGGCATCAGACAGCTCATTTTACATTCAAGCCAAGAAAAATTTGTTTCTCAAGTCAACATCTGAATAACATAAGTTTATTGGTAAACAATATCATACCTGTATGTTGATCCATTTGTTATTTTTCAGTTGCGGAGGGAGAAGGTAGAGCTTGAGAATGCCTTGGAACAGGAACAAGAGTCTTTAGTCAATAGGTTATGGAAACGCATGGACAAGTTAGAAACAGAAAAAAGGTAGATTTTTATAGTAATTCTAATGTTTGTCTTGATTTATCAAGTACAGGGAGTATAAAATTCCATAAGTTGAGCAACGGAGAGTAGATACCAGCATATTATATAGAAAAAAAAACATTTGGTTAGAAGATTTTTTTATTTTGGTCTCAAATTGTACACCTAGAAGTGTTAAAAACTATTTTGTATCAACCATGTCTATGCCAAAAGGCTTTCTGCAAGTGATAACAGTTTCTTACTACATCAGATTTGTCATATTGAAGTTACATGAATTGGTGTGCTTCATATTATTGTGAAAAATAGGGATACTTCTACACCTAAGATAACAAGGAACAGAGAACAGACCCCTCCCACCTCAGACGATAAAAAGTGCTTTGGTTAGAGCACAGACATGTCTTTACAGTGGTACCATTTCCCTTTGTATTTTGAAACTGGGAGTGCAGTTTACCCCCAAACATTGTATTCAAGTTTAAGAGCTCTTGAAAACTTGAGAACAAGTTTTTGAATTTTATCAGTTTTGAGGGAGATTGGTTGTACCCTCATTCATGTGTAAGGAGTAAAGCCCATGGGAGAATGATGTAACTTGTTATATTTCAGGATGCTTCAGGAAAAACTAGACCAGCCAGTGACTGGTCCACCATCGCCACGGGAGATGAATAATGGGGACACTGCCAATAATCTTGCCCAGCACATCGAGAACCTGAGGGGAGAGGTGAATAAACTAAAGGATATGCTGAGAGCTGGACAGCAAGAACGTAAGTGAGACCAGCTTCCTTTTATAATCTCCCCTTGGCCTACCTATAACACCCATGCAATCTGGAGATAAAGAACATAGAGGATATTTAATGGTACCTATTAAATACTTAATCATACCCGTATATTTAGTGAGTATGACAGGTAATTTTTTTTCTCACAAGTACATCACAGATATCTTTTCTGGGGCAATGGTACATACATCTCATATTTTGATACTTCAACGAATTTTGATCATAGTATAATTACCACTTTGACATGGAATTGGCATATATTGTTCCACCCAGTAGTTAACAGTGAAAATGCCTTTAGTATGTAGTGAAAATCAGTTGAATTGAAAGTGACAAAGATTTCAATATTTTTGTCTATTCATTCACTTGACTGAGGATCATATTTACAACAATTAAGATAAATAATACATCTGTTTTTTAGGCAGATAATGAGGTTGATTTCATTTTGCAGATGAACAGAAAATGGCACAGTATGCACAGGAAGAGAAACACATCCGCGAGGAAAATCTTCGGCTTCAAAGAAAACTCCAAATGGAAATGGAACGAAGGGAAAGCCTCTGTCGCCATCTTTCAGAGAGTGAATCAAGCTTAGAAATGGATGATGAAAGGTAAAAATATGCACAAAGCATCAATTGCATCATGTCATTTGTTCCACTTCCAGGTGTCAGAATACCCGGGATAAAGATGTTTGTACACTGTGAGAGTATAGGAAAATACATTGCAGTAGCCAGATTGACTTGAACTCATTGCTTGTTTCCATTGGTCAGATTATATATTAGAATGGAGAGTTCTAGATAATTTCATGCCATGTTACACTGAGATATGCAGTGGAGAAGTTTGATTCATCAGACTCTTTCTAGGGACTTTTTGAGACCTGTCAGGGACCCTGTTTAGTAATTAGTGTAATCGACCATCTATATATAATTATCATAATTTACATCTTTGTTTTTTGGAATTCTAGTTAGGGAATGATTCATGTAACTAGGTATGTTGAACACAACCTCTCCCTCTGTCTGATGTTTACTTTATATCCGATCTGTTTACCAGTACTGACACATATATTGATTTCGATGTCCTCTGAGTGTTTCTGAACACAATATTCTACATGTTTTCCTAACCCATCAATTTGCATACAGTTTTATGTATTCCTTTACAGACATTTCAACGAAATGACAAAACAGCAAGAAATAGGTCATGGAGCCAGACCGCGGACAGTGTCCAGTCCTATCCCATATGGCTCTCCAAACACTTCCAGACCTATGTCACCAGGTAAGTTGTCATATCTTAAATATACTGTAATAATCTGATGCTGGCCGGTCCCTTATCAGGTCATCTCTCTTCCCTTAAGACATTTCAGCTTTTTCCACAGCATCCTCTAGGGGTACCCAGTCATTGATCAGTGCTTGCTGCTGCTTGTTGTCACAGCCTATTGTGGTGGATATTTTCCCAATTTGGCCTGATGCATCATTTTAGTTAGTGATGCTGACTTTACTTAAATCATCTTGTGTCTGGTGCCTACTCCTTTCCTACATCTTCCTCCATATTCACCTGAAAGTAGCCCCTGCCAGTTTTTTCTGGTCTGATCCTGTCACTCCTAGTAGTTTTAAGGCTCTACAAAATGACTGGCCAGGGAATCCCCTGCAGCCCATTTCCACATGCAGACATCATGTCCTCCATGGAATATCCCTACTATTGACATTCATCAGCTTTATTCAGCCATCCCTTTTTGTTTTGAGCTGTGGGAACATGTGTTGAAGTAAAATCTACTGAGAATCTCATCCTCTGTTGAATGTCTGCCTCCGTTCAGTCTTCCGCTGTTGTCAGTATCATACCTGCTTGCACACTGCCCTTCCTGCCTGCTCCCGACTTGGAAAGTTTTGGTCTTTCCAAAATTTTGTCTATTTGACTTCTCCCCTCTGGCAGTGTTTGCTGCTATATCTCTGTGACAACTTCTTCATGCCTTCTTTCAGGTGTATCTTTCTGTCAGTACATGTACAGAGAACATAAGCCAGTTTTAAAATCAGGTTGTCCACTCTTAACACTTGCGGCACTGTCTTTAGTACTACAGAATAGAAAGATGACCTGTTTTTTATTTGCAGATGATTTCCTATCATCACAAAAGAACTTAAAGAAGACAAACATGTATTATATTAATCCCTCTTGTTGACCTGAGTGGAACCCAGGGCAGTGTCTAGATATTGACCCATTTGTACATGTTTTGGAAATTTATGGTCACACGAGTTGTTTTGTTTACTATATATGGAAATTGAGCATAACACAACAAGTTTCAATATTAAAATTTTATGTTAGTTTTGTTTTAAAGGTTTTAGATAAACCTTAATATTATTTGATATTTCAGGGTTGAACTATCCAGCATTCAGCCCCCCTAGTCCCATGAGAAGAAGCACTGGCAGTTCTCCATTTCATCCTCCTTCTCAAATGCCGAGCTCCTCACCACCGGTACACAGCCATATGACAAGCATGCATGTGAGTGTTTATGGATGCGAAGGTTGCCAAAAGTATGATGGAAAAATAACCAGGAGTTTGTCCTTGAAATTTGAAACTTATTATCAAATACTGCTCCTTATTTTGTCTTTCAGTAAATAAATTTGAAATTATACTTTTGTTATTGCAGCAGAAAGCAAGGCCAAGCCCAGACAAATTTGCCCGACCCAGTAGTTTTCCCGAAAGAAATGAGAAGACCTGAGAATTGGCCCGTTGACAATACAGTGCACATCCATCTAGCCTGCTGCCATAGTTACAGCTCCAGCTGTCAAACGTTTTTGGACTTTCATTGCTCGGACTGTTTCGTTGGTGCTATCTCTTGTGGACTTTTAGTGTTTTGTACACGCATACTAACGCTTACCTACCACAACTGTCCCGATGGAGGATCATCATGCAGCTCTGTGTCATCAAGGTCAAGAGCCAAGTCCGTTTATGAGGTGCTATCAGTACCCCACCTGTTACCATACTGTGGAAATTGTCATTGAATGAGTTGGGAATAGAAGTTAGACGTGCATTTCTATTTTTCTCCCTTTTCTCAGATTCCAGTTCTGAATTTAGGAAAGGTTAAGTTGGCTATGTTATTGGTATACTAAACCAAATGTTGAGGTATTTTACGAAGCATTCTAGTCCCTGTTCTCTTGTTAAATGTGTGTGCTTGTGTGTATGTGATTACTTTGGGGTCTAGAGTTGAGTTGAGTTAGTTAGTATAGGTAGTGGGATGGGGATATGGTACAAAAAATTTTCTGCTGAAATACAAGACATTTTTTTGTTAAGTTTGTAATTATGTTAGGGAAAAAATGCTGTCGTATTTGTCGATCACAAATTATCTGCACAAATATTGATTAAGGATTATATTAATTATGTTTTTCATAACATTTCTATTGTAAATCTATTTTGTCCGGAATATCAACAAATTAGGTATTGGATCATGTTAATGTTACTTGCATCAAGTTCATTTTCAGAATGATAATTAAGAATCTGGAATCAATCACATCTATCTATGATAAGGTAGGATTTATTTTGCTTTCATTTGTAGATTTTTAGTAATTTTTAAGATTTGAAATGTTACATTAATTTTTTCTTGTGTGATAAATTGATCCACTTTTTTTTTTTTTTTTTGTAGATTTTAGGATTTCCCCTTCATGTAATCCTTGTGATGCTTTCTAAACTACATACATCTGTAATTTATAAAAAAAACTGTAAGATTGTGTGTGGAACCATCTTTCACGAAGTTTTGTAGGCACCTGAAGTTAATTTCAACAAAAATTGAAATTATCACTGTTTGTCAGTTTGTTTATTAATTGTGATGTAATTCTCAGTAAATTTAGTTTAATAGATAAATAAATCAAAGATATGACACTTAGATGAACATTGAATCTGGTAAAGATTATTAGTTTTTATGGTGTTCATTAAAGAAAGCTAAGGATTGAAATATTAAGTTAAAAAGAATAAGTTTTAAGTTCCAAATATCATTAAACAGAAATGAGGTCTACTTGATGCTTGTAGGATATGTAAGGATCTGTGATATCTGGACTTGGTGGTAATATACTTCTAATGCCTAGGTAGGTTTTTTTATGGCCGTTTCTTCGCAAAAATTTAATTATCAGTGATTTTTTTTCTACTTTAGCTTTTTACTGTCTTATTGTTAATTAAAACAATTATTGAAAAGTTGGATTTGTTTTCTGCATCATCCTTTAAAATGTACAGTGTATTGCTTTGTTTTCATTGATTATCATCAAATCTGTATGATACCATGTGGTATAATATGCATGTATATGTAAAATAAGTACTTGTATGCGGAGAACATCTGATTCAGAATTGATAATGTTCTATTACTTGTGATTTGATGATACCTGAAAAGTCTTCCGTTTCTTCAACTTTGTTGTGTTTCCAGTTAAATACACAAACTATGTACCCTGATTTTAATTTATTAGCTTTTAAGCACCAAAGTTGCAGAGTCTGTACCCATTGAAATACTAAATGTGACAAATTTAAAATTATATACATGTGTATTTTAACAGTGATAGGAGATCATAGTCAGGAAACATGTATATGTATTACTATTGTCTAGACATATCTTTCATGTAATCATTCACCAGTTTTTCTGACATGTTTGGTGAAAACTTCTTGAGTCTAAACAGTGTTCCCCATTGCCTTTTACTTTGAAAATGGGGTTAAAGTTTACAACAATTTATTCATATATGAGTATCCTTGAACACAGTGAGTACAGATTTTGAATTTTACAAATTTATAAGAGTTTGTACTATTATTGTACCATCATTCACAGGTTATGAGGAACACTGTTAAATCACTTGAGTATTGTGACAACCTGTCTTATCTGACACGTATAGAAATCTGATTTGAAAAGAATACTAATTTTAAAAATGCTGTCTTAACATCAGAGGAGGAGGTCAGATTGGATGCGTTTTACTTTTCATGTACCTGTTTTAATTTCTGTTTATCATATGTATTGGCTGTTATCCAGACTAGCTGCATGATATACAATTCATTATGTATAGAGAAGTTTTGAGAATCAACAATAACACATTATAAGGAACCATAGAAATCCATGGTGAAGTGTAGGAAAAGGATTTTCAGATTTAGCTATATTTTTATGTGATTATTCGAGTCTAAACCAGTAATGAACTTAAATTTGTTTCATTAAATCTTAATTAATTTCATTTTAATGCTATGTACCGGGATTTGTCAGATTGTCATTCACTACAAACATGTATAAAGGCCTTCAGAACTGACTCAATCTATATATACGTTTAGAATCAGTTGTTCATATCTGTAGCTTATCACTTGTAAAGTGGAACTTTGTCAGTCTTGCCCGGTGTTAAATCTTGTGGATTAACAGAGATGTCAGTGGTGTAGTTTACTTACATTTTAGTTTGTTAAGGTAGATTGCTTTGCTAATTAACAAAATTGTACTGCAAAAACGGAGAAGTATTGTAGCATATTGTTTGAGGAGAAAGGTATTTGAAGTTGTATGTCACCATATGGAGGGCTGAGTCATATTGTTCTGTTATACTGACTCAGCTAGAGAGGTGAAGAAATCATAAAACGTTACCATGACACTGCTCTAGATTGTATGATGCTGGTTATCTGAAGGAATGTTTCTGGATCCGTGATATTGTGTTAAGTTTGTCCGTCCCTTTTTGTTTTGAAGTATAACAACCCCTGTGAGCAAAGTGGCCAAATAATAGATATGACTTGTATGATAAATTTGACTTTGTTATACTGCCATCTTTTTGTTCAGTTAATATGGGTTTTGGCAATATAAAGAGGGAGACATGAATGAGCCGGTAAAAGAGAGAAATCTGGATTTAAAATGGCAGTAAGAAGAGAAATACCAATTAAAAGTTTGGCACTACATCAAACATTGACTTGTACGGGTCTGAAAGACGAATTAAGATTTCTGAACACCATCACTTTCAATAGACGACTTGTACGGGTTTGAAAGAGGCATATGACGAATTAAGATTTCTGAACACCATCACTTTCAATAGACGACTTGTACGGGTTTGAAATAGGCATATGAAAATTGAAGATTTCTGAACACCATCACTTTCAATAGACGACTTGTACAGGTTTGAAAGAGGCATATGAAAATTTAAGATTTCTGAACACCATCACTTTCAATAGACGACTTGTACGGGTTTGAAAGAGGCATATGAAAATTGAAGATTTCTGAACACCATCACTTTCAATAGACGACATGTATGGGTTTGAAAGAGGCATATGAAAATTTAAGATTTCTGAACACCATCACTTTCAATAGGCATACTGTATAGTTGGTAATATTCATGGGTGTTTTATATTTGCCGTTATCAAGGAAAGAGTGAAGTTATATACACAGCAAGTATTTAGTGTAAATCAAAATGTAAGAAAATATTTGTTACATACCTGTATACACAGATGCCAGTGTTAGACATGCGCAAAATTTAATCACCCAAAACAGTCCAATCTGTAATGACTGCAAAATATTAACCCCGTGAAATTAAACAACTATACAGTACATGTGTTTGTTGACTCTGAGGGTTAGATATAACAACACAGTTTGTATGTGTATACCCCAAACATAAGCATGATGTTTGTATGAACATTTTAATCAAGAAATTCATTAGTTATAGTTATCATTACTAAATGAGTGAAATAAGATTTGTCACAAACACTGGAATTTTTCTTATGTTGGTTTTCTCTCATCAGTTATCTCCCTTGTTGGAATGGAGATGGCACTAGGACATTAGTTTAGTTGGTATGTGTATAGAACATAAACATTATTGTGTATATCAGAATACCGTGACTACCTATAGCTGCTACCAAAACAATACCATATTAATGTTCCCATGAACAGGTAACACTTAAAAAGAAAATTACTTTCTCTCCTTACCTGTTCAAAAGAATGTTATGACTATGAAGTTTCATTATGTACAAACTATAATTTGTCTAAATAAGGATCTTTCCAATGAAAGAGACATTTCTAAATGATTATCGTATTTGTCATATCATTTTGAATCATCTTATTAGTTAAATGGAGGTTGCACATAAATGTCGGTATTTATCAACTTTTACCAAATTTAGGATAATATTTTATTGTTTGGATATTACCTGCACATGCTCAATTATATATTTGCATTTTTATTAGTGATAACTGTAAACTGATGGAGGTCTGTCTTTGCTTCTTTGTGGCATTATATTAATTACATGTTTGTGAGATACAATATCATTAGGCTTTCTGTCAGTGTGCCTGTGTGCAGACTGTCAACGAAAGAATCGCACCATAGATAAAATTACGTTGTGTTAATTTTTTTTTGTCCTGCAATCTTTGTTGATCTTTTGATTATTTATAAGTTGATAGAACATAAAGGTACATATTTTTTATTTTATATAAGTTTGAGTGTATAAGACATAGATAGTAATTTTGAATTGTGTTAAACATCACGTTTCCATGTTATCATACTCGATGTGAAATCAGTTGATCTATTGTGAACATGATTCATGGAAACTGTGTAAAGAATGAATTGATGGCTCATAATTTTCTCGATTGAAATGATTTAAAAAATAGAAACTTCACTTATTTTACAACAGTTGCAAAACAAGTCATTTCAACCGGTCTTAATCACTCTTGTTGGCCTTGATGTAAGTGCACGAGGGTTCTTTTTGTGAGATAAAAATGGAGTACCAAGAAAAACCCACATGATTGTGCAGGTGACCCGTTACCTTTTATGTCCAGTCGGAGAATCAAACCCTGGATGGCTAGGTGAAAGACGAGTGTGTTACCACAGCACCACCTTGCCACAAATCAGTGAATGATAAACAAATAAAACATCTCTCAGTTGTAATGACATTTTACGGTATGTTTCTTCTACATGTGTAGAACTTGATAAACAATAAATAAATTAAAGTAGTGTAGTCAAACTTGTATTTAAGTGGCGCAAAGTATTTATCTGGATATATATAGCAATGTCAGATACAATATACAGTGTAAGGAACAAAACCAAGTTTAATCTGGAAATGTATTTAGTGTAAACAATATACGCTAGTAGAGAGGAAATTTAATATTAGAAATTGCATGAGAACTACTAAGAGAAAGATCAAATTCTCTATATGATGCTAGTTTTGTCTATCTGTATGTGTTAATGATACTGGCATATCAGAACAGAAATATTTTGATAAACCAACTGATACTATCAAGGTGGACATGTACGTTTAGGGGAAATTTACACTAATTATACAAAGATAGAAATGTACATGTTGGGAAAATTTACCCTAAATAAGCGGAAGTCATTTGGCCACTTACCCCATGCACCTGAATTTGTGACGTAACGCGTACATATTGAAGCATACATTAAATATGTGAAGGTAAACTGATAGTGAAAATAACCCCTGAACATACAGTTTACCTATTGAAATTGTGAAAATAAGTATGTTTACAGTACTATATTCTGTTGAAAAATAGCTTCATTGTGTGCAAACATTATTTTTCAAAGTTTTCTTCAGCAAGGCATTTTAATTTGTGTTCCAAGTTATGTGTTACTTGATGTTTATTTGTTTGTCAGATAGATGAAGTGGTAATTGATACCAAGTGTGGATTACATACTAAATAATACGCAGTAGTCAGTCTGTGTTCTTTTTCTCTTATCCTCAGGGCTAGAGTCATGTTTTGATTTGCAAGGTAGCTATTACATAATTCAAATGATTGAAAGATCAATCCAACAGTCAGATATAGATCCTTAAAATAAAATGTTTGAATTGAGTGCTTGAATTCGTGAGATCCAGTCTTCTGATATCTTGGAGGGGTGGGTGGAGAAATGAGTTCATTGGAAATGGTTTCATTTTGCATTTACAGTAAACATTGATATGAAACTCATCTGTTTACTTCTGCTTTTATTATGTGTTCTGGTTTCCAAAATTTGTTTGTGTTTCATGAATGAATATGGAACGTAATGTACAAAGAGAATATTTTCTCAAAATTTGCTGCTTTGATTAGAAATCTATGGAAGATGGTTTGTTAAGGAACTACTAACTCAGTTGTTTTCAGATGGTAGATCAGTGAAAGCACACGTTTTAGAGGATTTCAGTATTCTCATTATTCTTTTTATATTTTGAGACCTTTTTTTTTAGATGTTTGAAAATAACCCATAATTGTTGTACAATTTAAAATTTAATACATGTTTGTGTAGTGTAGCATATACTTGTTTGTTTGACGTCCATTGTATCATTACCACTGATAAGCCCACCCTTGGCATCAGATATTAAATAGTTGACAATGATTAAAGAAAAATGCTTTCCTGAGACGAGATTTAGAAAATGAATAAAACTTCTATTGAAGAGGTGTTGTGGGTTTATTTGTGGTAAAATAATGAAACGTTAAGCTTTTTTTAAGATTCTTTCGTTACTATTACATAATAATCCAAATTATGCCTAAACATGAACACTGTATATTATAACTTGCCCAAAAGACCCTGACTACAACATTACCATTTCGTGTGTGTTGCCCGACTCTGTGTTGGCTCTTCACTATCTTTGGTCCATCAAACCATATCTTTTCCATTTTGTGACCTAGATTTAGTGTTTGTTATATGCTGTTGTGATATTATTTGTTAAGCATATCTGTGAGACATAAACGAGTGATTGTATATATTCATGCCTAGATGCTGTGTATGTATATATGTGTACAGAATGTACAGATTAAACATTTAGTGCTAATCCTGTCAGACTCTATGTACTCTTGTTTTTTTTACATCGTGAAAATATCCTGTCAGGTTTTGAAAGATGTTGGTCCCCTTCTGGTGCCTCCAACACATACCCCAAACAAGACATTACAATTAAACAAGCTTCTTTCTAGGCTTATACGCATGCGTAGTATCAGGGTTACGAGCGTTAATGTATGAATTAGATCAGGACCGCAATGTTTACATCCTTTACTTTTTACATATCAATAAAAAATGGTTTTAGTGACGTTTGATTTGAGTAATTAACAGAAAGTCTTAGTTTTGTAACATACTATTGGAAAATAGAACGTTTTATATCGTTTTCTCGTAGTGTTTTTTAACATTATAGCCGCATTAAAAGGTCAGTAACAAAATGTTATAAAGGAATGCTTAATTTGACCTTGGCCTTGCATTGGTCAAATCACCTGAATTAACCATTGGTCATTGGACTCCTGACTCCTATCAACTTTACTTCATGATGTTGAATCGAGAGCAAAGATAGCAAAAATGTTGAAAATTAAAAATGACACCAAATGGCCTTATATTACAATCAATAGATAATTCAATTCACATATACATAATTTCACTTTTAATTTTACAGGTTGACAATTAATATTACAAAACTGACACACACAACTTCCATATAAAAGATAAAAATCTCTCGAGACAAAAATCAAAGGTAAATACAGACTGTACTAATTGTTTTCACTGAACATTTATAGGATACAGTTTGTACAATGCACTTTGTTTACAAGGGGAAACCTAACATGACAGAGTGATGTATAGCAAAGAAGTTAAGGCATAGCAGTCTTGGCTGATGTACATCTGAATAAACTGACCATTTGATTCCAGTTTCTCAAAGTTTGGTTGCAGTTAACCGGTCAGTCGTGCCTCAGTGGACATTCAGAGGAAAATCAATACTCAAAAATATCAATCTAATCTATCCAAAAAATTCACAGCTGTGATGAAGTATGTTCCTACTGTCATTTCATCAATATCTTTTCACTAACCATGCTTTGAGTAACTGGGACCTGGGTGAAATTCCACCAGTGGATAAAAATAATTCCAATCACATTGTAAAACCATCAATACCCTGTGTTATTTCTTAATTATCTAATCTCTGGCATCAAGATCTTTTCTCTTTTAAAAGTTTGTGAACAGTAAAAATAATAGTAACAGCATTACTTCCTACAAAATTACAGATCATTAAAAATATTGTTCTGCCTGTGTCTAGACTACAGAATTTTGGCCATTTCTTTTTAATCCTGTTATTTTCCATAGTATCCTGAAACATTTTTCTGATTTCTCCTAAGGTTTATCATTAAATATGGCTGTGAAGTTTCTCATTGGTCTGTTTTCAAATTAGTTGTAGATACCACATACTTTTTACAGAGGGTACACAACCCATTTATTCACCTGACATATTGAATATAATGATACAAACAACTAAGTCCTTTCATTCTTCAGTGGCAGCACTTGTCTACTTCACAACATGGCAGTTTCCTGAATACACACAGTTTCGGACTTGTTAACAACAAATAAAAGCACCCATCACCATGACAATGCCACACAATAATTCAATCCTGCAGCGCTTACGAATGGTATCAAAAGTCCTTACATATGGTTGTATCATAATTTGTAAATTTCTTAATGACTTTGACAATGCCTTTACATAAAAATTCATATGTACAGAAAAACAATCGCCTGGTGGTTTTTTCATCCAGTCATAAATTTATCCTAAGATATGTAAAACATATTTTGCTACAAATTTTAAGTCCATCGTTGACATTTTTTTACCTAATTGGCAAAAACATGAAATCTACAGTAAATGTTTCCCTGTAAACAGTATCCACTGAATCTTCCTGTCTCATCTTTCTGTCTCATCTTTATCTCCACGCATACATTTATGAGTAAAACCTTGCCGTTCCTATGACCTGTGATATAGGAACTCGTTTGGTTTCACAGCATTTGTGAGACCAAAATCAATACTCCTTAAATTTCCTTTTACATTTTTCATTTAAACTTTTCTCAAGTCTGAAATTCATCAACAACAACAAAGTTCAATTAGATAACTTACTAATAAGAAATGAAAAAAAATAACACACGCTTAACATTCAAACCAGCAATAATTATTTACTCAAAAACTTTCAAACCAATAAAAACAGATTTAAATATCAATTGCTTTAAAATATTATCAAATTTTTCCAGCAATATTTCCTATTGACTGAATTTTGTCTGGTCTCACTGTATTTGTCCGCCAGTGAACAAAGCAGGTCACATTCTTCACCAGATTCAAATCAAAATGACCAGATTCAATGAAAAATTTCAGTCTCCTGTTGGTGATGTTCTCTCAGGACGATCATATCTTACATCTAGATAAAACTTTTTCTATCCTATATCAGGAGCAATTTTGTTTATTTTGTACACACCATGAAATATCTATAAAACAGTAAATAGCAGAAATTTAGCAATTTTAGGTGATGAAAATAATCAAATTTTGTCTCGGTCATATCTTATCATTATCTGATGCTGAAATATCACAGCAGGATAAGTATGTACCACAGACTCCATCACTCATGACAATCCAGAATAACTTTGTTATCTGGGTTTATCGCATGTTAACAGCTAGGATAACGTTGAGGTGGAGCCATCTTGTAAGGCTCGTCCCATACCATTAAAAACAATCAGGGTAAAGTGCCATAGGACATAACCTAGTTAGCACAGACATCTGTTTCTCATGAGAAACACAAAAAGTCACAGGTAGTGAGCCACGCACTTCAGATCATCACTAGTGGTTACATAGGCCATCGTTCTAACAGTGATATCATGGCCCTACTAGGGTATGCACCAATAAATACATCTCTCAACATTAAAGCATTCCAAACCATTCAGTTGTAAGTTGCTCCAATCCAACGAAGCTTAAGTTTGCTTCAGTACTGGATGAAGCAAGTACATAGCACATCCCAGAGAGTGACATCATAATAATGATGTCATTACATTCATAGTAACTTCTCACATCACCAACCCATTCTCTAAGGATGGCTTTCAATGATTTCCCATAAAATGTCAGACTGCAAAGTGGAAAATACAAAAAAAAAAAAAAAAAATGATGAAATGATTCTAGGCCTAATTTAATATCTGTACTCATATGCTTTAGGTTAGTCTTGATAAATGAAGCATAACGCATTTAAAGCAAAATTTATATAAAAATGATTTGCTGTCAGAGATTTTCAAACAAAAAAGACATTAGATTTAATATATTAAGAGCGAAATTTATTTTAAAATGATTTGTTGTTCAAATTTTTTAAACAAAAATGGTGTTTGATTTATACCATTTCATTTCCCCAAACCTGTTGACCAGTTCAGCAAACAAATCTTCAACATCCATGTAAAGAGGAGTATTAACACTTGACACTAAATTTGAGAAAGGTTGTGTAAATGCTATCATCGCTTTTGGCAGTTTGAAAAGACTATCGAGACAAAATATATTGATACATAAAATAATGATAAACATCCACCATATAATATCACCAAAAAAAATACACCGTATAAGTCTTCAATCTTATATGATATTAAAACACTATTACTTTATTATTTAATACATCACACCTCCAAATAATTGAAATTAATGACAGATTATATTTAAAATATAAATATTAGAGAGGTTAAATTCTGTGATCTCTACTACCCATACACATTTTTTTGCAGGAAGTTGCAGCATCTTTGAAAATCCTTCTATCCTCCCCTCCCTCTCCCACCTATAACTTATCAACTACATCTATCTGATTGACATCTCTCCTAGCCAATCAATTAACTCCCTCCTCCCCACCTGTTCTACAAGTCAGTATTTGCACATAAGACCATTTCTTGAGTCTTATTTCCTGCCACAGTAACAGTTGACACTTCATCATCACAATTTGGCCTGTTCAGGAAAAAGGCTATAGGAGGGAAAATTCAAGATGTACATATAAACTGGAATAGGGAGTTGGGCTTGGGCTGAGGTTGGGATTGTGACGACAGGAGACTAATGAAGAGAAAGAATTGGGCTAGAGGGGGCGGGTGGACAACTTGTGACCTGCACAATTATAATATGGACCGCTTTAAAAAAAATTCTAATAATATTCAGTTCTACCTCCCCAGCCCACCCATTTCCTTTCTCTGCTTTGCTCTAAGTATTCTAAACATTCAAAGGAAGATCTGCACTTCCAGTGAAACTTCATTACAATTCCCAATTCACTATCATCAATTTCAAAACACAATATGACTTTCCAAATATTACAATGAAAGCAATGCAGTTATGCAAATAATTTGTGAATCAATTAATATTATAATACAGTACTTAATAATCATCTAACAATGTGGTTTAGATATTGTGTTTCATAAAAATTGTGACACAATGTCTGTATATCACTGCTTTGATTTCAGTAAGTGACCATACAGTCAGATATATACAAGGCGTAATTTCAAACTCAAAAGTGATCTTTGAGCTCATATATCTTTTGTAAATTCAGTTAAACAATAATCTAGATTATCTGAGAATAATTAACATCCATATAAAACTGTCATATTAAAGCAGTGAAACAAATTGTTTAGTTTACAATGAATAAATAAACACACATCCCCGTTCCCTGTTTTTGCTTACTAGGTACAGTCAAACTTGTCTTAAAGGCCATCTTGATACAAAGTCCATCTTTATACAAAGTCTACCTTTATACAAAGTCTACCTTTATACAAAGTCCATCTTTATACAAAGTCTACCTTTATACAAAGTCTACCTTTATGCAAAGTCCATCTTTATACAAAGTCCACCTTTATACAAAGTCCACCTCTATACAAAGTCTTCCTTTATACAAAGTCCACCTTTATACAAAGTCCACCTTTATACAAAGTCTACCTTTATACAAAGTCCATCTTTATACCAAGTCTACCTTTATGCCAAGTCCACATTTATACAAAGACCACCATTCTATAAAGTCCACCTTTCTATAAAGGTTGCTTTATTTTGGTTTCCTATGTCATGCCACTCATAGTAATTGAACCTCTATGTAAAGACCACTTGCTTATAAAGGCTTCTTTTCTCCGTTCCCTTGAGTGGTCTTTATAGACAGGTTTGACCGTAAATGCTGCAATGAATTTTCCCCATAAACTTCAATTAAATTCTAGTCCTTAAAAATCAGATCATGACAAACAAAGATCCCCTGAGGGTAGGACGTAAGAGGTAAAATCCAGGAAGACTGCTGTATTTGATTTCACGTAAATCCCTGCCATTTCGTCATTGACAAAGCATTCTGTGACAAGTGTCAACCATCCTTTGATCCCCACTGAGACAAAAAATGTCAACCTCCCCAAGTTGTTTTAAGCAACTAGCACAACGATACCTTATAATTTTAGTATAAACATGAATAAGAAAATCTTATTTTAAAACATTTTTGTCCTAAAAATCATTCAGAGTAAACAGAGTCTACTACTTTATACAGTCAGTGATCCATAATCCAGCCACTACTACACTCCAGTTGTCCTACTATCTAGAAATTTCTCTGAAAGGTCTCTATAGAAACCTGTCTGGTCACTTTATATCTGTCCCTTTATATACTTTTAGAGAAAAGAATGTGGCTGGATTATGAAATCACAACTGTATATGAATTTCCAAACAGTTATCTTAATTGAAAAAGAAAAAAAAACTATATGTATGCTATTTTTTTCTCCCGTCTCACCCAACTTTGAAAATGTTAACAAAACAAAAGATATTATTAACGAATAAGATAGCAATCATCTTATCAGCGAATCAGAGTCATATTTAATTTTTTTGATTACGTTCATAAGTGGAGAGAAAGTTTTCAGAAATCTTCAGACCATGGATTTTCCTCCACATAAATATCGATGACCTCCTTCATTGCTAGGTTAGGAATCAGTTGCTCCTGTTTCAAGTCCGCTCTGGTGACTGGGTCAAAATGGCCAACTCTCTATCAACATCAAACCAAACAGATATAATTCAGATCTATACAGGCAATGATGAAGACTAAACTGCAGACTGAAGCATGTATGTAAATTCTTGATTATTAAAATTTTCATCATTCTGTCATTATTCAAGTACAATCTGTTCTTCTTGCAATTAAAAAAAATTCTATTTGAAGAGTGAAGAAATGAAAATTAAATAGCAAAATAATGCAAACCATTTACGCAAACAGTTTATGGTGCATTATTATCATTACCTATTTCCAAAACATTTCTTTATTGGAAAATAGATACAAGAAAATGGATGTGCTTGTCAATTTTCTCAAGTACATATTCATTATTTCAATTTTCAAGATTTTAAGCAATTTCCAATACTTAAAACACAATTTCTTCGGTACAACTTCAAGCTATTTTGCCACTATTTACAACCTTAATGAATCAGTACACATGTTTAGGCCTTGGTTAAAATTAAAGCCAAGTTAAAACACATGAAGAAGACACCCACCTGTAAATGTTCCACAATATCTTTCTTGTCATAGGTAATTCCACTAGGTGTTATCACAGGTTCTCGCATCAGCTCAAAGCTGATTTTACCACAGAGGTAGTCAGGAACATCCCTCGTCTGGAAACAACACACAACATACAACTTCATATTAGGAGCATTTGGTAGGTTATATGGTGATGGTATATAAATAAAAAAAAAAAAAATTAATTACACATTGTCATCTGACAAATAAATCTTTCAGATTTTAAAAATCACTTGAATTTCATGAGATGTAAATATGTAAGACACAAAACCTTTAGTATGAAATGGTCATAGCAAAATTGCCATATATTTACTTTTCTGCATAAAATTTGATCAATGTATCTTACCTTTCTCCGTACATCTACTTGTGCAAATAAATCATTTATCTCTTTCAGTCTTTTTTCCTACAAATGAAATGCAAAATGATTCTTTAAAGGTGTACAATTATCATTCTATGTATCATCCAATACTGCATTGGTAAAAAAACTGTTATCATCTTTAAAAAAAATGAATAATAATAGTTAGAATAATAATACTAATAGAATAGTCGATACTATAACAAAAACAATGAAAGAATTTCTCTTGAGCTGAGTAGGTGGAGAGGCAGGAAGTTGTAGTGCACAAAGAAAGATTCATAAACCAGCCAAAGTGGTACAGATATACACACACTATTTTTATCCTATGACAAAACATAAGTGTTTCTTCCTGTTTAGACAGGGATTTAGATACATATGAATGAAGTAATATATAGAGGCACACATATATAATAATAGGGCTTCAATCACAAATGTGATAACAGAAGTTTTCAAGCTTGCTGTTTGAGGGAAATTCTCTCAAAATTGGAATGAGAGGACATGGAATTTTTCTGAGTTGCTTATTTACCTGTAGTATAAGGAGAAACACAACTTTCCCTTTTCTGTTACATAACAAAGACACATCTTAACTATCTGGCAAGGAGATGTGATCTGATTGAATGTCATACATGTAGCACAAATAATATCTTATCTTCTTTTATTTTATTTCAAATTTAACATGCAATAAGTCCAGAAGGACAACATGAAACATCTGACTGAAATTGTAGTGGAAGATTTATTACAGGGCAGTGACAAATCTTTCATCTTCGATATTCTAGGGTTTTACGATCACTTTCACTCTCTGCAATCCTGGAACATTTCATTGCAAAATTGAAGGTTCTGTGTGCAACATCTTGGAACAGGATGAAAAAAATAGTTTGATCCTTTGATGTACATTGAACGAATCTTGAACTCGCATAACAGTATATTGTAATGGTTTTGAACTTTGGTGTCACACCTTTGTAATCTTCAAAAGGAGCATATCAGCATGTGATTAGTCAGTTTTTTTCTCCTGGCAACAATTCAATTTTGCCACAACATGTTTCAGGGGTGCAGAGAGCGAGAGTGATTGTAACACTTGGAGTATGGAGGATGCAAATCAGCAGAATTTCTATAAAAATATCCATATTTATGCGGTAATAAGCACATCAATATTGCTGTTAAGTGAAATTAAAAAACCAATGCTATGCATACAGATTTTTAATTACATATATCCATTTAGCTGAAATTGCCCTGTACAAAAAGTTCAATTCATTATTGTAACAGATTCAATCAAAGATTAACCAGATACGTACATGTAAATTAATTATTTGTACTTACATGTTCGTCATCCACATTTGATAATCTCTCCTCCATGTTTTCCTCTCCTGTACTGTTTAGTACTGTGTTCCTTTGTCTTAGGTGTAAAGGAAAAGGTCAGTAAATGATAAAGGAAAATTAGGTAATATGTTGTACCATTAACTATCTACTGTAGTTGATTTAACTATGGAAAGACAATCTGATTGCATTCATATTGATAAAGATATAAGCTAGCAACTATACCATATGTTTACATTTTAGATATTGTTTCAAGATATTATTGTGACTATTTATCAGATATTATTGTGACTATTTATCAGATATTATTGTGACTATTTATCAGATATTATCGTGACTATTTATCAATTTGAAAATTTTGATGAGTCTCAATACCAAGAGATACATTGGGACCTAAATGTAGTCCCATAGAAAAATTATGTGTCAAAGACTCAAATATTCAAGTCCAGAAGATCAATCTGTAATGTGAGCTATCTGAAGTATTGTCCAAAGCATTCACATAACACAGATGAACATGGCACCAAACTGATGTACATGGTAATTAATTATTGTAATACTAATGGCTATAACTCTGTACATGATGAAGCAATAAAAAATATTTCAGTACATGAATATGAAACTCTACCATCTGCAGAAATACCATATACTACCTAGTAACTGCTTGTAACAGAATATAAAAGATATCAACCATCCTCCCACCCACACAGACAGCAAACAGACCCATAAGGATGGACAGACCCAAACAGACCGACAAACAGACCCATATGGAAGGACAGGCCCACACAGACAGACAAACAGACCCATATGGAAGGACAGGCCCACACAGACAGACAAACAGACCCATATGGAAGGACACACACAGACAGACAAACAGACCCATATGGAAGGACAGACCCACACAGACAGACAAACAGACCCATATGGAAGGACAGACCCACACAGACAGACAAACAGACCCATATGGAAGGACAGACCCACACAGACAGACAAGCAGACCCATATGGAAGGACAGACCCACACAGACAGACAAACAGAGCCATATGGAAGGACAGGCCCACACAGACAGACAAACAGACCCATATGGAAGGACAGACCCACACAGACAGACAAGCAGACCCATATGGAAGGACAGACCCACACAGACAAACAAACAGACCCATACAGAAGGACAGATTCAGACAGACAGACAAACAGATCCAGGCACCAGCAGCTAACTTTTCTATGTATACATTCATTGTGTCTCTCTAGCTTAATGTAATTATGTTAATGCATTTATTTAGTATTTTTGCAACTAAACAATTTGTGTATTGTGTGAACAGAACCTCTATAAAGGACTGTATATAATTAATATATACGCCTATATGATTAATAAATATGTATGTATATATCTCCAGTTCAATGTATATATGTCACATCAAGTACAATTTATGCAATATCTTCTTCCTTTAATTACTTATGATAAAATTAATCACCCAAATATATATAAGCATATAATTCAATTAAATTTTTGTGCCTTATTAATTAATTATGATTTTTGACAATGGCTAAATGTATTGAGCCTTCCTGTACCAGTGGAGCATCGAGTGACTTGGTAAATCATCCCGGTGTCGTTTATGATTCTCTGACATTTTGTTCTTTAAATGTTCTTTTTTTATTGCCGGTACATGTATATAACTTATCAATGTTATGTGGTGACATTCACCCAAACCCTGGCCCTGATAATTGTAGTACCTCTATCTTCCAAAATATTTCTATCTGTCACATAAATGTGTGTTCTTTAAGAAACAAGACTCATCTCTTTGATGCAGAATTTTCTGACTATGACCTCTTATGCATTAGTGAAACTCATCTCAATAACTCTGTTCCTGACAATGATATATCACTTGTAAATTATGGTAATCTTTTCAGAAAAGACAGAAATAACTATGGTGATGGTGTTATAATCTATTCTAAGAATAATCTTAATATCAAGCGAAGAACTGATCTTGAGTCTGATGAATTAGAATTATTCTGGGTTGAGGTATCCACTCATAATAAGCCTATTTTAATTGGTTGTATCTACAGACCTCCAAATTCTCTTGTTAATTACTGAGAAAAGCTTGAAAATAACTTAAGTGATGCACTTGACTTACAAAGAGAAGTAATTCTGGTGGGTGATATTAATCAAGATATGTTAAACCTTTGTCCAAACTCTCATTTTTACAGACTCTTGTTAAAATATGGACTTCAAAATACTGTTACTGAACCTACCAGGATTACTCCTCAATTTTCAACTTCACTTGATATTCTTATTACTAATAATGTTAACTTTGTTTCCAGCACTTCTGTACTACCTCCATCCTGTAGTGACCACTCGCCAATTACTGCTACTTTAAATTTCAAGTCTTTTAAAAAACTTGCATATAAAAAAACCCTTTTATATTTCCAAAATACTAATTATGAAGGAGCTAATGAATTTCTTAATTTTATTGACTGCAATTCTCAATTAGTTGGTGATATTGATGAAATGAATTATGTTCTTTCTAACAACATTTTATCAGCTATTGACCAATTTGTACCTAACAAGACTGTTACTATTAGACCAAATGACAAAATATGGATGACTAATGAAATTAGACTGAAAATAAGACAGAGAAATCGTCAGCATTCTAAAGCTAAACAAAATAACTCCCATGCCTCATGGAATAAATTCAAATCTATTCGAAACCAAGTCATTACTTTAATCCGAGAGGCTAAAGATAAATATCTATCTAAATTACAATCTTCTCTTATTAATAAAACTATTCCTCCTGGAAAATGGTGGCGAATTGCTAAATCAGTTATGAATCTACATAATAAAAGTGAATACTGAATATCCCCTTATTATTAATGTTGATCTGAAAATACACCCTCTAGATAAAGCTGAGACTTTCAATGACTACTTCACATCTATTTCAACAACAGACAAGAATGCTGATGATTTACCACCTGACTATCCCCCACCAATTATTAACTTCTCCTCAATCGACATAACTGAACAGGACATTATCGACCAACTTAAGCTTCTTAATACTAACAAACCTGCAGGTCCTGATTCCATCCCTCCCAAATTCATAAAAGGTGTTTCTCAATCCCTTATAAAACCTCTTTCAATAATATTTAATAAATCTATCTGCAGGTGTACTTCCTACCTCCTGGAAAAATGCTCATGTAACACCTATATATAAAGGAAAAGGAGGAAAAAGTGATCCATCCAACTACAGGCCAATCTCTGTTACTCCCATCTTCAGTAAAATCCTTGAGAAAATTGTCTTTAAATATTTTTATAATTATCTCTCAAGACATAACATTATCTCCAGGATTCCACTGTTAATCAACTATTAATTATATATGATGACATTACTAAGCATTTGGATAAAGGTAAAGAAGCAAGAATGATATTCTGCGACATAAGCAAAGCGTTCGATAGAGTTTGGCATGATGGGTTAATTTTTAAATTGAAAAAGTATGGCATTAGTAATAACATGTTAAAGTGGTTTTCATCTTATTTAACTAACAGGAGACAGAGAGTGGTCTTGGATGGATACAAGTCCAACTGGAAAACATTACAGGCTGGGGTCCCTCAAGGTTCAGTTCTTGGTCCTTATCTGTTCTTGTTATATATTAATGATATTGGTGATGATTTACTATCTAATGTGAAATTATTTGCTGATGACACATCTTTATTTGGCTTAATTGAGGGCGATAGACAAGATGCAGCTAATATACTCAATAATGATCTTCAAAAAATTTCTAGGTGGGCCAATAGATGGGGTATTATTTTTAATCCTGACAAGACAGAATCCCTACTTTTTTCAAGGAGAGTTGATTCTGAGATGTTGCATCCAAATCTGTACTTTAATGATTCAGTTATTAAAAATGTTACCTTCCATAAGCACCTTGGTCTAACTTTTAATAGTCATGCTAATTGGTCAAACCACATAAACTCTATCTATGAGAAAGCTTATAAACGAATAAATGTACTTAGAATATTAAAGTAAAAAATTGACAGAAAGTCACTTGAATTAATATATATTACATTTATTCGTCCTATTTTAGAATATGCTGATATCGTTTGGGCTAATTACACAGAAAGGGAATGCAACATCTTAGAATCAATTCAACTAGAGGCAATTCACATTATTACTGGCATAAGACGGGGCACCAGTCATGCAATTCTATATAATGAGTCTGGATTAATACCCTTAGCTAAAAGAAGACACTTACATCAAAATATCCATTTTTTAAGATTTTAAATAACAGATGCCCTCCTCATGTATTTGATTCTATCCAACCTTTTATAAACAATAATACTGCTCCTTATCCACTTCGACACAATAGATTGTTTGATGTGCCCCATACAAGAACTTGTCAATATAGCACTAGCTTCTTTCCAAAACTCATGAATGAATGGAATGGCCCATCTTGTCTGTATCCCTCATTAACTTCTATTTATGCGATAAAAAAATCTTTTTTATCACAGCAAGCTACCATTCCTCCTTTCCACTGTAATGATACTTTCAAATATAAAGGACAAAGAAAAGCTAACATAATTTTATGTCAACTAAGAAACTCTGCAAGTAATCTGAATTTTGATTTATTCAATTCCCACCTTAAAGATAACCCTGCCTGTAGCTGTGGCCACCCAGTTGAAGATTGTACCCACTTCTTTTTCCACTGTCCCTTCTTTACTAACCAGAGACAACTCCTCTTTAATTCCCTTTCTGACCTTAGTGATTCTATACCTCCTACAATTGATACATTTCTCAAAGGTTCTCCTATACTTGATGCAAACATGAATAAATTTATTCTTGATATAGTTCAGAGATTCATAACTGACACTGGTCGCCTATTTTAGCAAATGTACATCCCATTCTATACTTCTATCTTTTCTATCTCTCATTTGTATTTGATGTCTCAAGTGTGGGTCCGCCTGTCCATTTTAGGGACTCAGCTCAGGATTATGTGCAAATGGACTGTTTGAACCTTCAGCCTGTCCCACCACAAATGGACATATTTTGACCCAGTCTTGTAATATCTTGTGATACCTAATTTGTATTTTTTAGTTTATGTTACTGTTCTGGAACTCATTAATACAAACGATGGTGATGCCTATTTTGCATTTCGGTTATATAATCATCCATTTGAATCTATCTTCTACATTCTTATTCCTAATATTATTATTATCTGTTATCTCTAATTTTGATTGATGTGTCTGTATACTTGTTTATGCACTGTAAGGAGAGGGCTTTCATAGGCTCTGCCTGTTGCCCAATTCCTACTGTCAATACCACCATGACAATAAAATATTCTGAAAGTAAAAAGATCCATATGGAAGGACAGACCCACACAGACAGACAAGCAGACCCATACAGAAGGACTGATTCAGACAGACAGACAAGCAGACCCATATGGAAGGACAGACCCACACAGACAGACAAACAGACCCATATGGAAGGACAGACCTACACAGACAGACATTCCACCCTAATTCATGGATATGTCTTAAATATTTGTCACACATGTGTATATATATTTACATTAACATTACCTCTCAGCCTCCTCCTTTACAAGACGATTTAGATATGTCTGAAGTTCAATTTCTTTCTGAATACGCTTGTTCTCTATCACATTCCATCTTTTTCTCTTTGCCAACCTTAAGGCACCAGTGATTTCATCTCCAAAGTTCAATTTCTGTTCTTTTGCAAGTTCATGTGCTGAAATAAAACATTCCATGTTTTATGATTTCATCTCTGAATGCAGAAACATCCTTAAAGAAAACTGAAAACTATATTCACCAGGGTTTTCCATAATTTTGTTAGTAGTAGGCTTTGTAGTGAAAGTAGGAGGCTGGCCTGCCATGCACGTGTAGTCATGTACGGAACTATGACCATGTTGAGAATTTCCAGCTGTCTATCAGTACACTGAATTAATACAATGTATCATACACAGTAACTTAATTGATCTGAAGGATCCAGATTTCAATGACCTGCTGTAATTGTACTAGAGTTTGATATGTATAGATTTATGGTATGTATTAATAAATTCAACGATTTATTGTGTATCATCTACATTTACATCCAATCGTACGTCAAAGGCATCAAAACATTCTCACTGATTCAAAGTCTGGGGTGGCCTTGCTTCAAGATAATGGAATAGTTGTTTAGCAGTGGACTTTTTATCAGGCATGAACTTGTCAAATGTGAACAGTAAATTGCTGTAAAAATCATAACATAATCAACAACAATAAGGGCACAACAAAATACATGTTCATTGTACAAGGGGTACCTGGGCTCTAATTTATCCAAAATGACCATGTTGAGAATATGTTATTTCAAAATGAGCATTATATTTGATTACCTCTGTTAAGGCTTGTTGCTGCTTCATCATAGAGACCCATCTCCACCAGTGCCTGACCTAAGAAGAAGTGTCCTTTCACAGATGTCCTGTCAAGGTCTAAAGCCTTTCTGCAGTCTTGGATAGCCGCCTCCCAGTTTTTCAGTTTCAGGTAACATAATGATCTGTTTGTATAAAATGTTGGTGTGTTTGGGCTTTTAATCTGAAAAGAAACAGGTACGGTTGTGTATTTCTATGATATTATCTGTACCCTGACTGAAAATATGAATGAATACAATATCATTTCTGATGATTCGAAATAAAAAAGTAAGAAAACCGCATCAGCTAAGCCAATACTGAGATATTGACATGTATAGAGTATGATTTTCTTTTTCTACTGCTAATCAGCCAGAGGGTAATTGGTGACTTGCTCTGAATGGAATCCTACCAGCTGTGAGATGAAAAGTTGAACAACTTGTAGCAGCTGCCATGGAGGGAACAGGCGAGATCGAAAACAGTTATGTTTATGTTTAGTTTTGAGGAATTAGATAATTCTGATGATAACATTATGTACACAGTAAACAGACATATGAAGTTCATGAGAAGCGATCAATTCGAACCTAAATATTGTCAACCTTAGAACAAGAAATGAGGCACTAATTATATACATTTATATATGGAAATGATTACTTTCAGTGATATATGCATGCATTCTATATCTAGAATGATGATTACTGTAAAAATCAAAATCTACAAATGTTTCAAACCAATATGAGAACTTTGAGTTCTACTGCATGGAGAAAGGAGAAAACATACATCTTTGAGGGAACCACATGGGTACAGAGAGGGAAAGTCATTGTAACCCTTGGAATATCGAGGATGGTCAATGATCAGTCCTGTATGTAGTCCATGGACAAAGCCAAAATGTGTACATGTCAATCCATTCTTGCTATGCCAACAGTTAAAGCATGTTCCAATACATTTTCTATTTCCTGGTTTTCACTCCCCTGACATTACTTATTACAAACAAGATTAATGAACTTCTGTAACAGAACGCATAAGTATGTGTGAAAAACACTTTGTTCAGTGTCGACCCTCAAAAATATGTATACAACCATGTAGTCATCAATGGGGCGAAAGGACAACCAAGAGACATGGTCGGTGAATGATGGGGTTTTCCTTAATTGAGAGAGTGGCTAATATTTAATCAGACTTAATATCATAATTTGTAATCTGTCGTCATTTCAATCCGATTGTTCTCGAAGGAAGTTTTTCATAAATGGCATGGTTTCGTTATCAGCCATAAGGATTCACTTTCACATTATTTCACTTACAATGGCTTTGGTGTAACATGATGCTGCACTGTCGTAATTCCGGGAGGCAAAGTACTTGTTCCCTTGATCTTTCAGTTCAACGGCACTCATAATGATCACATTATCGTAACCTAAACATCGAATATTCTTGTCATTCTCCTTTGCGTAATCAAGCCTGTGTTTGACCGGGATTCAATGGCCTGTATCAGCTAATTTCTTAAACGAGTATCCGGAGAAAATTCCCGGAAGGATTATACGACGATTCTAGAAATTTTTGAAAAAGTCTAGTATCACTTTGTCCATATTACAAACATAACATTGTTTAATAGTTGACACATAAAATATACTAAATA